GTTCATTCACTAATACCTTTTAATTACCTTTGACACTTAGCCCTGCAAAGTATTCTTTTGTAAATGTACCTTAAACATAGTAGTGAAATCCAAAAATGATTACCAGGAGTCTGGATTTCTAACTGTATCAGGGTGTTTAGTGTAGCTCTAATTTCCTAGTTGAGACGACAACTGAAATATTATTACACTTTATCCTGTTGTTCATTCCAATCTTGTATAACAAAGAAACCATGCCCCTCCCATCATATTTGAGGCATCAGATTCCAGAAACTGAAACAATAATACGGAGACGATATGAGAATTATGGCCTTTTTAATAAGAAATGCCAGTGTCAGTGGATAGGGAAATTATAATTAGGATTTATTGCATAGTAATAAAGAAACTGATATTCCTGTCGATAAAATCCCAATTAAATATCAGTCACTATTGATTTGCTTTCTCCCGAAGATTTTTTTTTTTTTTTTAATCAAAGATAACAGGTATGTATTGGCATTTGAATAATGCTAACAGTTTCTGTAAAAGGTTTTTCTTCCAGCCTGTAGTATAGCTTTAGCATGTATTGGGCAGTGGCTTTCTTGTGCAGCTTAGGCAATGTTTGTTCTAGGGTGTGATCATTCCATTAGTAAGGCTAAGATTCAGTCACAGGTATTTTTAGTAAAAGTCATGGACAATTTACAGGCAGTAAACAAACATTCATGGCCCGTGACCTATCCATGACTTTTACTATATAAATATCCCTTATTAAAACTTAGTAGGTCCTGGAGCCCCGGGCACTGCTGCTCTGGGAGCCCCAGGACACTGCCACTGTGGGTCCTCAGCCACCCCTGCTCCAATGTCCTGGGGACCACTGCTCAGATGCTCCCCAGGGCCGCCCCGGGACAGCTGCTCCGGTGCTTCCCCCAGGCTAGCCATGCGAGCAGCGACTGGTGCAGCTTGCCCCGAGAGTGCCCCCGGGACAGCTGCTCAGACCCTCCTCAGGGTTAGCTGCCTGAGCAGCGGCTGATGCAGCTGGCCCTGGGACAGCCCCCGGGACTGCTGCTCAGACCCTCCTCAGGGCCAGCCACCCAAGCAGTGGCTGAGGCAGCTGGCCCTGGGACAGCCCCCAGAACTGCTGCTCGGACCCTCCTCAAGGCTGCCCCTGGGACCGCTGCTCAGGTGCTCCCTAGGGCCAGCTGCCCTGAGCTGTCTGAGCAGTGGTCGGTGCTGTTGGTGGTACCGCTGCTCGGGGGCTCCCTGGGGCTGCCCCCAGGACCGCTGCTCGGGCACTCCCTGGGACCAGCTGTCCCGGGACCGCCTGAGCAGCACCCGGTGCTGCTGGGCCCAGGGCTGCTCCAGCAGCACCTGGTGTGGCTTGCCCCGAGATCAGCCGCACTGGCCATTGCAGCTGCGAAAGTCACAGAGGTTGCGGAATGTCATAGAATCTGTGACTTCCACGACCTGCATGACAGAATTGCAGCCTTATCCATTAGTGCCCATTACTGAGATGCACTATAGAGTGAAACTTTTTAATGTAACAATTTTGTGCTTGTCTTGAAGGGGACAATGGCCTGTGATGGGATGTTAGGTGGGGTGGGATCTGAGTTATCCAGGAAAGAATTTTCTGTACTATCTGGCTGGTGAATCTTGCCCATATGCTCAGGGTTTAGCTGATCGCCATATTTAGGGTCGGGAAGGAATTTTCCTCCAGGGCAGATTGGAAGAGGCCCTGGAGGTTTTTCGCCTTCCTCTGTAGTATGGGGCACGGGTCACTTGCTGGAGGATTCTCTGCTCCTTGAAGTCTCTAAACCACTATTTGAGGACTTCAATAGCTCAGACATAGGTGAGGTTTTTCGCAGGAGTGGGTGGGTGAGATTCTGTGGCCTGCGTTGTGCAGGAGGTCGGACTAGATGATCATAATGGTCCCTTCTGACCTTAGTATCTATGAATCTATAAGAACAAGGCTGAAACCTTTTGGTGGGGAGGAGAAAAACAGGAATGAAGTTGAAGACATGGGTGAGGGAGGGACATCTAAAGCAAAAGAAGAAAACTGAAGTGAGAGAGGAATAAGGAAGACCAGACCTGTCTTTCGCTTGCTTCTTGACATAATTCACTTTTGGAAAGTCTTTCTCAAATGAGCTGTGTCATAAATATAAAGGGAACCTTTAAATCCCTCCTGTCCAGAGGAAAAACCCTTTCACCTGTAAAGGGTTAAGAAGCTAAGATAACCTCGCTGGCACCTGACCAAAATGACAAATGAGGAGACAAGATACTTTCAAAACTGGAGGGCGGGGGGAAACACAGGGTTCTCTCTGTCTGTGTGATGCTTTTGCCGGGACCAGAGCAGGAATGCAGGTCAGAACTTCTGTAAAAAGTCAATAAGCAATCTAGTTATATATGCGTTAGATTCTGTTTTGTTTAAATGGCTGATAAAATAAGTTGTGCTGAATGGAATGTATACTCCTGTTTTTGTATCTTTTTGTAACTTATGGTTTTGCCTAGAGGGATTCTCTATGTTTTGAATCTGATTACCCTGTAAGGTATTTACCATCCTGATTTTACAGAGGTGATTCTTTTACTTTTTCTTCAATTAAAATTCTTCTTTTAAGAACCTGATTGCTTTTCATTGTTCTTAAGATTCAAGGGTTTGGGTCTGTGTTCACCTATGTAAATTGGTGAGGATTTTTATCAAGCCTTCCCCAGGAAAGGGGGTGTAGTGCTTGGGGGAATTTTGGAGGGGAAGACGTTTCCAAGTGGGCACTTCCCCTGTTGTTATTGTTAGACACTTTGGTGGTGTCAGCGTTTAACCTAAGCTGGTAAGAATAAGCTTAGGGGGTCTTTCATGCAGGTCCCCACATCTGTACCCTAGAGTTCAGAGTGGGGAAGGAACCTTGACAAGCTGTTATATTTAAATTCTTGAATGCATGCAGTCTGTGATACTTCCCTTAGAATAATTTAGATGAGCAGTAATCTAAATATGGGTAGCATTGACTTCAGTAGCAAAAATCTTTCACCCAACTTTGGTTAAATTCATCAGATTTTTTTTTAATTGTAAGTTTTAAAATTTATTAATGTAAATGTGATTACAAATAAGTAAAACATTAATCTTGTGGTAATGTCCAAAGGCCCCAGTCAGGATCAGACTCCATTGTGCTAGGTGCTGTACAAGCATGCAGGACAGACCAAAAGAGTCGAACTGATCAAGAGCTTCAGGATTGTGTTCCCATGTACAGTGGGATATTTGCTTTTGGTACTAAAAATGTTGCCCACGTTTATTTGATTCTTTTAGAATTAATATGCCTTAAATTTCTCTCAGCCAAAGGTTTAGCTTCATTGACTTCAACAAGAAAAATTGGAGACAGTAGTACAAAGTCTTTTTGATTGGTTGTTCAGCTACAGCTACTTCTGTCTACAATTTTGCTCCTATAATCCACTCTAATGCCTTTGGTTGTTTTGTGTGGTGTTTACTGCACTGTATACTTACGTTGTGGCAAAACTTGGCAGATTTATCCTTGAAGTTCTGGCAACTGGCATAATGTGAGCATATCTTGATGCTGGGAAGAGTTGGGACTCCTTGGTGTATACAGTTTTTGTCGGCAGAGAGACAAAGACTTTTATAATAGACATTTAAAGATCGAAAATAGAGTTGGTAACTTTGGAGATCCATCTCTTTTGTTCATTTGATAGCAATTGTTTAGTTCTTTTTGAAAATGTAACCAATTATTACATGACAATGGACGTAATCCATCTCAAAATAAAGGATTCTGATATATCTGCAGCGAGATCCAACTCTGGGTCTATGTTGGAACAGTTCAGTCAGCAGTGTTCTGTCATTTACCATTTCTGTTTTCAAGGTGGCCAGACATGACCCGTTGACTAGACATATGTTGCTCTGAATGGTGTGCGAGGGATATAATATGTACAACTCCTAAATAATGAGGTAGCTGACATATTAAGGAAGCTGTATAATAACTTCTATGATCTACATTTGGGGGAAAAAACATGGGACCAGATCCACAGCTGATGTAAATTGACTTAGCTGATTGAACTCAGTTATGCCAGTTTAGTCCAGCAAGGATCTGGTACAGAATCTTTAGATCATTTGGAGCCCTCTTTCTTCTCTACAGCTTTGACAAAAAAGGAACTCAACCACTTAAAAATGTACTTGAATTAAATTAGTAAAGATTACTAGCCCAGACACCACATCCTTCATTTAAACTTGATCCATAAGAGGTATGTTTGCATCATGGTTTGAGAAAAGCATCTTTGTGACCCTAAACTGCAATGGGAGCTCTAGGCAAGACTCAAGGAGTCAGTGGGAGTTCTCTGTATGAATCAAAGGTGTTTATAATTGTTTGGATGTCTCCATGTACACTTCATTTTCATGTTATCATGTTCTGCAGATACATTTTCTGGACAGAGATTTTTCCAGGCAATTCTGCTTTTGTGGTCCCTACTTTCTCTATAATTCCAGTATATATGCTTTAATTGTAAAGGCATGCAGTAGTGAAGAGATTAACAATGCCAGATTTAAAAAAAAAACTTAATGAAACTTCTGTCTTTTATTATTAGGTCTATTTTCTTATGTATTTGTTTTATAGTCCTTCACTCTTCTCACTGGACAAAGGGTAAAACTTCCCTCCCACTATGTAATACATTGCTTAGGGACATTTCCATAATTCAAGTTAAAATGGGATGTATACTACAGTAAGAACATTGTTTTATATTTTTTGGTTGTCCTAGGTGTATATTCTTTCATCTGGTATGTTAAGTTGGCTGTAGTATCAGAGGATAGCAGTGACATCTGAAAAGCAGTTTATCCCCTCACGAAAGGTTAGGAATAAATGTTAGTGCCTTTCTTCAGTTTTGTTATATCATGCATTGTGCTTTAATACTAGTAGTTACTTTGATGTCAGATGTTCTTTTAAGGATTTAAGCCTTAAATTGTCCAATGCTAAATTCTGATTTTGTAGGATTTTTTTTTGCTATTGTCAGCTAAACGTTAAAACCATAATGTTTTACAGAGCCAAGCAAAGTCACTTGCGGAACAAAAACGATTCCCATTTGCCACTGATAATGACAACACAAATGAAGATTTGGGTAAGATAATTATATAATGTTTATTGGGGTGATTCTGGATGCCGCTCACAGGCACAAAGTTTTGATACTGTAAAATTATAGTTGGTAATTCTGATGGATGCTTTAGGATCACTTTTATCACTCCTTGAGCAATAAAATTTCAGCCTTTTGTTTTTAATTATGTGGAAAGAACATCATTTACCTTTTTTTCCCCATAGTACTTCTTTCTACTCTGCACAGTGGGACATTTCACCATTCATTTGGTCATGCAAATGTGAAGAAAATATTTTCCCAAACCCTGTTAAACACTCATGAACTCTTCCTACTCTCTCTTTCCTGTCATTGCTGATAACTGAAGATTTTCTGGATATTTGAGAGGAGCTTTCTGTCAGGTGAAATTGCTGCTTCATCGAGCTTGGAACTGCTGTTTTTCCTACCTTTTCCAAGTCTGAAAGGGGGGTGGAAGGTTCTTGTGGATTTCTTTCTCTGTGCACTTGTTGGCACACTAGAAGTGCACCTGGTGAACTGCTGTGACGTTGCTCTACGGTCTTCTGCTTCTGTGCTGAGAGGCAGGTGTCTTCTAAACAGGTCTCTGAGGGAACCCTGTGCTGCTGAGGGGTTTTTTATTATTTATTTATTTTTTTAAATTGTTTGCCATTTTCTCTCTCTTGCTTCAGCTTGGTCTCTGTCTGGTAGGGGGAAAGTTCTTGGAAGAATTTTGAGGAAGGTTGGAGACTCCCTTATTCTAGCAGTAAATCTTCAGCCCCCTCCAGTGGTTCAGCATTTGCCACATGGGAGCCCAGGTAGCAACATCAAAGGAACCCCATTCCTATGTTTGGCTCCAGGGCCTGTCACCCTACCTGCCCTACTCCTCTTTCAGATACATCTTTTCTGGAGCATGTTCTTAGGAGTTTCCTAGTTGTCTGGCATTTTTCTGAGCTTAGGTCCTTATATTTGTGCTTCTCCTGCTCTAGTAAACCTTAGGGGAAGAAATGTGAATTGTGTGGGGACTCCTCAAAGTGTGGCCTGCTCATATCGCCTACAACATTGTAGGCAGTGTCTTTTCACTGTTTTGCTCCTTGCACCAATCCTTCTCTTTTCCATAAAACTAGTGTATTCAGTTATCAGTCTGCCCTTATGTTACAATAGTTTATTACCTTGGGAATGATTGTGATATCATATGACTGATGGCTAATGAAGTAGATTTAAGAATTTGGCAGAGAAGAAAGACAAATGAAGAAAATGCAAGGAGCCTCTCTAGCTGCCATTGGCTCTCTTTCACTCCTCATACTGCATCAATACTGTGTGCAGCCTCACCTCCTGACTGGTTCTCAAGAGGTGTATGCATAGTGAAGTTTTTTGTATGTATACAAAGACATATCCTTACATAGTATAAACAAACACTTCACTCTGCCCAGTGCAGACATGTTAAATAGTGGTGCAGGTTGGGCTAGGCCCTCTCCTAAACCAATGTCCAGGACAAAATTAAGAACTGTCTCCCCACAATGACAGCACTGTCCACCTGGATGTGTATTTTTTCTTTCCTTTACATCAGCAATGGTTTGCAACAATGCCATCAGAATGTGTTTGCTTTGCAAAAGACAGGTTCACATGACGGAAAAACATTGCAATTGCTGTTAATTAGCACCTTTGTTGGCAATCTCAGCTGAGATGCCAAGGATTGAATAGGCTGAAGAATGGCTCTCTTGTCCCTAGAAATGATCCCTCCAAATCAGGGTTGGGAAATATTGGCATGTGAAAATCTGTACTCAATCTCTACCTGTTCTGTGGATAAATGGATCATTGTTCCCTAGGGTTATATATCCAGCATCTTTTCACAAACACTAAACTCACTGAAAAATATACTACATATTCTAAGTATTTCTGTCATGGTGCTAGATGAACATGTTAGAAAAACGAGTTTTGTGATGAATGTAGATAACCTTAACAAAACTATTGCTTTCATCTTGCTTACTAAAGAGTTATTTAGAAAGTGAGAAGTAGCCTGAATTCCTACTGTCTTTTTCTGATAACTCCTCTGACAAACTTAGCTGGGCTGTCACCAAAAACAAATATTTTGACACCTCTTCACCAAGTACTGCATCCTAAAATAAACGTAACATGTTGAGTTTCTACTAATAACTCTTCTGATGCTTGAAAAATAAAGCCTTGGTAACTCCTCTTAGCAATACAGTTGTCAAGGTAAACTAACAAAAAAAAAAAGTTTGATAACTTTAGCTGTCTTAATATCTGCAGTTATAAGATGTTCTGAACAAACAAACTTGTATCTTGGGCTGCTACAGCCAAATTCTGCAATTCGATGGGCACATGCAGTTCCCATTATCTTCACTAGAAGTTGCATCTGTGTATCCAAGAGCAGATTTTGGCTCTTCAATAAAGTTTAAGAGCTTACTGCCAGACCTATTTAGAAGACCTACTAAAAGCGTTTTATCATAAATGTGTAAAATTTTCATCCCTGACACTTACAACGTAAATACTGCCATAGGTTGAGACTTTTCTCCAGTATAACTGTAAAAGGTAAGTTATCTAAACCGTTCTAAGAAGTTTGGCAATCTTCTACAAAAAACATGTACCATTGCTGAGTAAACAAGTGAAAAAAACACAGTAGCCTCTCACGTGAAGTATTTTTTAAGTTAAGTATTTTCAGTTGAAATACTGTGGATTACTCTTTATACCAGACAGTAAGCTGTGGAGGGCAGATATTGCTTTTCAAAAAGAAAAATAACATTGTCCAAATGCCCCAACATTATATAAGTGCAGAAGACAGGATTAGGAAAAGCCACAACAAAAGACCTCTACATTCTAACCTATCATCATCTGTCTCTCCCAGTGTTGACCTGTCTTGTCTATCTTCTAGACTCCAAGCTCCTTAGCACAGGATCTGTCTTTGTGTCTTATTCTGCACTGACCACATCAACACTTAATAATATGCAAAAATTAAACTAATCCATTGTAATAATGTCTACCATCTGAGGATTTCAAACTGTTCTATGATCACTAATATATTTAGCCTTACTGTCTTTTATGATATGGAGAACATTTTACACATAAGGAAACTGAAATAGGAAGGCTAGGTGCCTGATTTTCAGATGTTCTGAGCACCCACATCTACATTTGTGGAGCTGCAGGCACTCAGAACCTTTCAAAAATAATCCCTAAGTGACTTCCCTATTATACATAATAAACCTGTGACGGAGATGGAATAGAAACCAGGTCTACTGACTCCCTATACTGTGCTTTAACCACAATACCATCCTATTATTTATATTACTCACTCGCTTGCTGGAACATTAAGGTTTCAAAGTCAAGCACTCTGAAGTTAGGAAATGACAAAATTAGGGTTACTTCAATCCTAGTCTCCTGGTTCCTTATCCCAGACTCTTTCCCTAACCCACAGGCAATCAATCATTTTTTGTGATGGTATAGAAAAGGTCCAGACGCTAGAGAAAGTAATACAAAAATAGATTATAATAAGTAAAAAAAAAAAAAATTTTTTTTACAGTCTGTTCAAAAGCATCTGGCTGTTCTGATTTGGTCCCCATTCTGCCTGTTGAGTACTCCTGCCCTAACCAGTCCCAGTTCTCCTTCTGCACCCCAGTTTGTTGTCAGCTCATCTCCAATTCCCCTGGTGCTGGTTCCTAGTTCCAGTTTTTGTCCAGACAGTCCCAGTCTCTTCTGGCTCCTCATCTGATCTGTATTCCCCCCTCCCCCCATTTCCCTCACCGGCTCCCATCCTCCTTGCTCAGTCAGTACCAGCCTCCCTCTCTCTTACGCTCCAGCTATCCTTGCTCAGTTAGTCCTAGTTCCTCTTCTCTGCCCCCAACCTAGGGTTGCCAACCCTTCTGGATTGGCTGGGACTCTACCCAAATCTGCATCGATCTCCCAGTGGGTATTGAAAGCAATCTGGGAGATATTAATAGGCCGCTAAAAGTCCAGTGGCAGTGCAGCGGGGCTAAGGCAGGCTGCCTACCTGCCCTGGCTTTGTGCAGCTCCCAGAAGCAACTAGCATGTCCCTCTGGCTCCTAGGCTACTAGCCGTGCCTATAACTATGATAGCATCAAGTGGCTATATTTGGGATTGGGATCTCCTTGTGCTAAGTGATTTATAGTAAGATACACTGGTATACACTGGGGTGGGAGGATCAATCTAAGTTACACAACTTCAGCTATGTGAATAACATAGCTGAAGTCGACGTACTTAGATCGACTTACTGTGGTCTCTTCACCGCGGTGAGTCGACTGCTGCTGCTCCCCCGTCGACTCCGCCTGCACCTCTTGCGGTGGTGGAGTACAGGAGTTGATTGATGGGAGAGCGCTTGGGGGTCGATTTATCACGTCTAGACTAGACATGATAAATTGACCCCAGCTGGACCCGTAGTGTAGATATATCCTTAGTTTACATTTTGTTAAATGTGACCAAATTTTAGAATATTTGAAAAACTGACACATTATCTATGTTGTTTTTATTTTAATGTGTTTGTAATCTTGCTTTGCCAGCAATTGCCTACGTGTTGATTGGCAGCGGCCTATATGATGAAGCAATAAGACATTTTTCAACAATGCTACAGGTAACTGTTCGCTTGTTCTATTTTTGTAATTTTAAATGTAAAGATGATGAATCTTGAAATCAATCATTGAGGAAATAGATTTGTATAAAATACAGATTGTTATAAAATTCTAGCTTAGAACCATTATAGCATTTGAGGCTGACAAAGCAGATAAAATATTTAACTCTTAATAAATCCCAGGACTTAAATTGGAGAGATTCTGCTATCAGATGTGAAAATAATACAATGGATAAATGTGGTTTTTAAAAAAATCTCATGATCCCAGTCTCCTAATAAACTACTAAAATATAAGCCAATTTATTTAACTGTTTTAGAAGGAATAGCTTCAAAAGAACAAAAACCATACCTCATTTTGCACAGTTCAGTCTCCTAAAAGTTCACTTGATTAGGACTTCGTACCGTATTAGATTGAGATTTTTTTTACTACATATTGCCAGTAACTTACTGGCAGAATAACCTCATATGTGGCACTGGCATTATGGGAGCTCCACGTTGTTATAAACCAGACTCCATCCCAGGTTAATACTGGGTTGTCAGTTAGGAACTTGGCTGCTGTAATATTTAAGCAAAATTTTATTTATTCTCTAGTATAAATTTCTTTTCTGATTGGATGGCGTGGAATCCATATTATTTTATCATTCAGATTGTTTCATGGCAGGCTGACAATTTTTTAAAAAGGGTACCATAGCTTAGTCAAACTTGATTTATAAATATGTATCCTTATGGACAAGACGGTCTAATTGACTGAAGCATAGGCCTGCTTTTTAAGCCAATACAGATATAAAATACATCAGTGGTAGGCTATAAAATGCCATTTAAAAAGTTCTGCTTTGTAATGTAATAGCATCCTTCTATGTTTTTTAACTTTTTCTAATGGCATATGTGTTTATTTGTACACTGAGGGTATGTTTGCACTGCAGCTATGCCTCTGTAGTGTAGACAGTTTCCACATCAACAGAAGGGTTTCTTTCATCCATGTAGGTAATGCACCTCTCTGACAGATGGTAGCTGAAGTTCTTTTGTCGACTGGGAGTTGGGTTGACCTAGCTGTGGTGCTCGGGGTTCAAAATTTTTCACATCCCTGAGTGACGTAGCTAGATCAACTTAATTTTTAGGTGTGGACTGGGCCACCTTAGGGAGGGGGCAGCTCCCACCCAGGGCAGTAGCAGGACCTGGCTGGCTCCATCTTTGGAGGAACCCGTGGCATGGATCAGCCCAGGGCTCCTTGCCTCCTTCCTCCTGCCCAGAGCCTCTTGCTCCTGCAGGCTCTAGAAGATCTAAAATATTGAACGCTGCAACTGACCAGGTATCCAGGGCAGCAGCTGGGAGAGCAAGCAGGGAGTCCCCAGCGATCAGGGAGGGGAGAAGGGGAAGACCACCAGGCTGTTGCCAGGGTGGGGCTGTGCTTCTTCCCGGCCCCTGCAACCACTGGGGACTCCGTGCACGCTTTCGTCTCTGTTGCCTGGCCTTGGGTTGGGCACTTGGCTGGCCACAGCCCTATACCCCCTACGGTGTGGGAACCTCTGAAATAGGAAAAAATTAGCACAAAAGTTACTTATGTGTAGATTTGCTGATGACTGCCCATGCCACATTTTAATATCCGGCATTTTTGCTATAGTTTTCATTTAAAAAAAACCTTTGTGGTTAGAATTATTTTTACCACGGGAAAAGGGGTTTCTCTTCACTCACTCTACTTAGATTTGGTGAAGAGATTTTGCTCATTTTCCAAGTAATTCCCCTGTAGGCAGAGATGAAACATGGACATTTTTAGCTCATAAATTGCAAGTTATGAGCTTGTGATGATGATGGGTTATAATAATCTCTCTTGTGTCTTTACCTGGAGACCATGACTGAGGCCTGTTAATATTAAACACTGAGCATTAAGTAAAAGTAAGCAGCTGAAGAAAGATACCTTCGATTCACTTTAATTTTTTTTAAAGATGGTTTTACATGTGTTTTGCTCTGAATAGGAAGATCCAGAGCTGGTTAGTGCTATTTATGGACGAGGGATAGCATATGGGAAAAAAGGACTTCATGTGAGTATTTAATAATTTAAATGATTGTCAGACATACTTTCCTACAAACTGTAAGAGATTACAGGAACTATATCAACTAGAATTTATTAAACATATGTACAGTCCCAAAGGCTTTCAGTGTGTATTGTCATGCTATTAATGTTTTCTCTGAAACATCCTCTTCTTCTTATCTGAAGATGCTATATGACTGGGGACCATACCTGTCAGACATCAAAATCTTGGTGTGTGTGTGTGTGTGTGTGTATAATCTCATGAAGATCCCTAAAGACTGATAGGAAGTGGTAGAGGGGGACCAGCTACTTTGTTTAGCAAACATACAGTGAGATGCTCATGATGGCATTACTGTTTGGGCTGTTTCAAGCAGGTTCTATTTTGTACTCTTTGAATTGTCTTATTCATACTCTGTAGTGTTTGTTGCTACCCCTCCTCGTGGGGGGGTCATCCCTAAATACATACCCCATTCTTGGATTCAAGTCTTCAGTGGCACTAACATGAATAATTTTTGTTTAACTAATAAGTATCTGAACTGTACTTTTGTTTAACACAATAGCACCTAATTGAACCATTTTCAAAGCCGTTTGTAATATAAAGATCAATAGGTAAAGACCAACACAATGATCTAGCGTTTGAAGAGTTGGATATTAATGATTTAAAAAAAATTAGTAAGGAAAAATGGATTTAAAAAAAATAGCCTTTTGTTTTATATAGTATAATTAAGCATCCAGATCCTGTCAGGAAGCTGCAGTTGGCTTTTAGAATTCTGACTTCCTCCAGTCCAGATTAATTGGATGACTCAGTGGAAAATCCCATTATGCAGAACCACTGTGTGCTAGAGAATGTTGACAGGTACTCACTTTCTGTGATCTTCATATTCATTTCTATCTCAGCAAAGAGTTCTCTGGTTCTCTGCACAGCTGATTTAAAAAAAAAAAAAAGGTCCACTCCACAAAAGATGGCTTCTGTGAGAAATATTTTGAAGTTTTTTTTTCCTGACTTGATTCTAAAGATGGGCAAAAGGTTCAGGCAAAAGCTCGAGGTTACTTAAAATTCCTTCCCTTCCCCAAAACCCAAACAAACAAATGAACCAACCAACAAAAACAAAACTCTTATCTCAAGTGGAGTTTCTCTAGCCCAAAACAACAGAAGAACCAAAGAAGCTATAAAGTCTAATGTGGACTTTGCCAATCTATTTAATGTGTAGTTACTCCAGTACTAGGATAATACGTGGCAGTACTGCAAAACCTTTAGATAGGTAGGGGAAGTATTGGGAATGCCACCATATTTTCTAACCGAGATCATCAAAAGGTCTAGATGACACTGGTTTAAAGCACTAGTGCTCCGCACGGTTCCAATCGTTGTTGCAGGTGAATCAGTAGTGATAATGGTGGTAAACTTTAGGGAAAAGTTTAATATAGACAAGGCCTAAGGAAATATTTTCTTCAGAGACTTGGGATAAAAAGAGGAGGCCTTATGAACCAGATATAATATTATCTGTGTAGAGTCTGCAGCTAGTTTTGTCATGGTTCAGCTAGGTTATTGGAGATACAGATGTCTTTGAGTTAACTTGATTTTTGAAAGTCCTTGAAACTATGAAACACAGCACTGGCCTTTCTGGCCGATGCAGCTAATGAATTGCTAATTTGTTCTTCCGGATAAAGCTTTCCTCCATTCATGGGAAGTAGTGTCAGGAGGAGCTTGTGATGTCACAGAAGGGAAGGAACTCCGATCACATTTATTTAGCTGTAGCTGTCTCTGCTGGGACTGCTTTACTCAGCAAGAAAAAACAGTTAGTGTACACTGAATCAGACTAAACTGTTTTATGGTACACATTGTAGATCGAGGCGGGAAAACATTTTGGCCTGAGGGCCACATCGGGTTTCTGAAATTGTATGGAGGGCCAGTTAGGGGAGGCTGTGCCTCCCCAAACAGCCAGATGTGGCCTGGCCCCTATCTGACCTCCCCTGCTTCTTGCTCCCTGACAGCCCCCCCACCCCATCCACCCCTCCCTGTCCCCTGACTACCCCAAGTTGCCTCATCCAACCCCTCCTCTCATTCCTGACTGCCCCTCTGGGACCCTTGTCCCATCCAACCACCGCTTCTCCCTGACTGCCCCCCCGCCACCCCATACAATCCCCTCTTCCTGATTGCCCCCCTGGAACCCCTGCCCCCATTCAACCTCCCCGTCAGGGTTCCCTCCCCACTTTGAATTCTAGGATACAGATGTGGGGACCCGCATGAAAGATCCCCTAAGTTTATTTTTACCACCTTAGGTTAAAACTTTCCCAAGGTACAAATTTTGCCTTGTCCTTGAACAGTATGCCGTATTGCGTCAGTGGCGCAGTGAGCTGAGGTTGCGGGAAAGGGGGAACAGCAGGGGAAGGGCCGGGGGCTAGCCTCCCAGGCCAGGAGCTCAGGGGCTGGGTAGAAGGGTCCCGTGGGCCGGATGTGGCCCGCAGGCTGTAGTTTGCCCACCTCTGTTGTAGAGCCTCATATTTTTTGATTATAAGGGAGAGTGACGATGACTTTATATTAGTTGACAAAATACACTTCATAGTACCACGATTCTTGGTGGAGAGATTTTGAGCACTAAAACATAATGCTTATTGTATAAGGAATATTTGCAGTGCAACCCCAGTAGGTGAACATGAAACACTGAGGAGTCTGTTTGCAAAATATTGCAGATGATGCATATGGATAAAAGGAGTCCCTTTTAGTTATTAAGTTTTGGTATACAAACAGCTTGTTCTGTTAATACTTGCACTATAAAGCATCTTGTTCCTATTAGAAATGACAGTGAAGTACTTTGATGTCTGGAGGTTACTGTTTATTGATTGTTTTTTGACCTTTGTCCTTAAAAATTATTAGTGTAACTCTAAGATCACTTAGTATAATAAGAAACCATGCACTGACTGCTTATATAGTTTAATTTATCTTTTTAAGGACATAAACAATGCTGAGCTTGCCCTATATGAGCTGAGCAGAGTAATTAGTCTGGAACCAGATCGCCCTGAAGTATTTGAACAGCGAGCAGAGGTGAGATTTTTCTTTCTCAGACTTTTCAATTGCAACTCTTTCAAATATTTAAAAGTATTTCTTCTGGCTTCATTCACCTTTTTAATGGTTAAAACTCTTGCTTTCTCCACTAAATATATCTCCCTGTTTAAATGCTTTTAAAGTATACGTATTTGCTACAAGAAAAGTACATATTTCATGGTATTTGTGAAAACTTGTACAGAATGTTTAGTGACTAGAGCCAAATAGATTGCAGGTAATTGACATAAACAAGTGTTTAGCTTTGTATATATTGAATAACGCAGAATCATACTTTTCTTTGTAACTCATTGTAATGAATCAAAATAGTGCATAAAAACCCTCTTCAGTTATGGTGATTGTACTACAAAAAATTCCTAAGTTCAATCATACTGCATTAAGGCTGCCAGTTAAACCATCCAACATTCAAATTGTGTGTTAATATAGCACTTTTGTGCTCAGAAACATAAATGTGATTAATCAAGAATTCCGTAACTTTTAACTGAAGATAATGTTCTATGTAGTCAATTACAAAAATGTGCACAATTTCTGCAGCCCAGCATCTCCCACAATTCTGGATGTCTGGGCTGCTCCCCTCCTCTCTGCAGTTATCGAAGGTGGAACAAAGTCCTGGTGCCTTGTGCTCTGGCCGCTCTCCCGTTCTCCCACTTGCTGCCAGATTCTCTGCCTCCACCGCAACATGTGGACAGTAGTTCTGTCTCTCCTGCCTATTTTCTTCAGTGAGCTTTTTGGCACTTCGGGTGATGGCGAGCAATGTTCTCCCTTTCCTTCTCCCTGGTTCGGTTTACAGTCTGCGACTTAACCCACCCTGCTCCTCTGCTGCAGTGTCTTTCTGCTGCCTCCTCTGCACCTCTCAGGCATGACAGAGCAGCCTGAAAAGCACCAAACAAAATCTAAACGGTTCTCCATTTGTGAGACAGCCTTCCTGGGCTTGGCAGATGGTGAGTTGTGCCCAGGCTGTACCCAGTCTTCTGTCCGTAATTCAGTTAGGTCTTGGGGCTATGACTTGGAAAAGCGTGTGGTATCCCCTACTCACCAGAGCAGTTGCCTCTCCAACTTGGAAAAAATGGATGAGGAATCTCTGAGCAGAACAGGGAGAGGAAGACCCAGCCAGCCAATTTAGGGGATAAGCCCAATGGGCCCCTAGAGACTGCTCCCTTTTCCACTGAGGACAGTGAATTGTCAGATTCTGAATCCGAGCAGGAGTAGGTTAAACACTCAGCAAATATTTTTTTTCCCCCTGAGAAATTTGAGGCCAGGCGTTGAAAGGTTGTCTCCACTGTTCACATTCAACATGAATAGACACTACATTTCTACCCTCAAAATCCTCTTGTGAGGTTTCGATTCCCGAACAATCTTTTGAAGAAGTGATTCGGGATGAATGGGACAAGCCCAATATGGGCAAGCACACTGACAAAGATGACCTCAGGTTTTATAAGATTCAGGAATCAAAAGCTCCTATTGCAGAGATAGTGAAGGTTGACACCACTGTAAGGTCCTGAGCAAGAGATACGGTTATCCCCTCAGAAGGGGAATTCTACCCTAAGGGCTCCACAGATAGTAAGATGGAGGCCACTCAAAGACTTTTGAGGATCCTCAGCCACCTTTAGGGCATCCCCAGCAGCTATCTGCTTTGCAAGGGCATCTCTCTCCTGGCTGGAAGATCTCAGGGTCATAAAGGGTAGAGATCACCCTGACTTGGCTCTATTTTAAATAGTTTCCCTGTCAACAGCATTCATAGGTGAGGCCTCAAGGCGTGCAATGAGGTTCTCAGCCAGAGCCATGGATTCCAGTTCAGTAACCAGCAACCACCTACGGCTCCATCCCTGGAAGATGGATACCCACTCAAAGCATGTTCTGTGCTCTGCCAAGTTTAAAGACTCCATTCTTTTCAGGGAAAAGCTACACAGGGTAGTGGCGGACCCAATGTGGAAAAATCTAGTTGGGCTTTTCTGGTGCGACTTACTGCCTTCAGAGAAAGTACAGACCGGCCTTCAGACAGAGAGGATCCTTTTGGCCTTCATCCTCTCAGATACACCAGTGAAGGCAGAGCAGGTTCTTCAAAGGAGAGCTGTGGGACCAGGCTTCGGGGGAAAGCCCAGAAGGAACACCACCCTTCCCAAAGCCTCTTTATGACAAAGACCACGTAAGCCTCTGCCCAGAGCTGAAGCTAGAGGGTAGGCAGAATTTCCTGTTTCCTGGAGGAGTGGATTGCATTGCCAACAGACAGGTGGGTCAGGGAGATAGTGAGTCCAGGATTTTCCCTCAAGCAATGGGCTCCCCCATCCATTATTCATCCATTCTCCCATCTCCCACAACCCTATAAAGTGTAATCTGATCCAGAATGAGATGTCTTGTCTTTTAAATATGGGAGCAATTGAGAGTATTCCCTTAGAAGCACATGATGGGAATCTAAGCCATTCTTGTCCTCAAAAAGCTCAACAAGTGGATGAAGAAAACAAAGTTTTGGATGGAGACCCTGGCATCGATAGTGTCGTCCCTGTCTTGGGGAATTTTCTGACTTCAGTGGACCTGGCGGATACATGCTTCCATATTTCTATCAGATTTTTAAGGTTTGCTTATGGCAGGAACCATTATCAGTACAGGATGTTCCCATTTGGCCTGTCCTCAGCCCTCAGGGTCTTTGCCATCAATTTCTTTGTAATCAGCCAGACTCAGGTCACAGGGTATCCAATGACATCCCTTCCTGGAATCCTGGATGACATCTTGATCAGAGCTCCATCTCTGTCATTAACACACACAGCCAAGTCTTTGACATTCAATCTCCTGTAGCTACGCTTCTTTGTTACCAATGTCAAGAAAAGCCTCTTGACTCCATCCACCAAAAATACCTTACTTAGGAGTGGACATGGGCAAATCTTTGCTATCAAGGTATCTATCTCTAGAAAGGTTCCAGAAGATTCAGGACCTTCTTCCATTATTCTGGAGCCACAGGAGGCCTACTGTAGCACTGGGCCTTCTACTTTAGGCCTCCTACTGTTGTGCACAGGGGTCACTCCATGGGTGCAATCACACATCAGGTGCCTTCAAGGCTCCATCTTAAATGTGTGGGACCACTCCCCAAAACACATTAAGTATCATCAAAAGTCCTGATGCAGGTGCTTATCTTAAAATGGTGGTCAGCCCAGGGCAATGTCCATGAAGATATGCCCATATGTCTTCCAAATTCTCTGGTTCTCACAACCTAATCCCAGCCTGGAGGACTGGGGAGCACACCTGGGGATGCAAACAGCTCAAGGCATCTGAAGCCTGGAGGAAATGGCTCATAGTGTAAACCACTTAGTACTAATAGCAATCAAGCTGGCACTGTGATGGTTCCAATCCAGTATAGTGGGGAACCACACCCTAATTCATTATCACGTATGTGAACAACCCAGGGGAAGCAAGGAGTCCAGTGCTACACGTAAAAGAATGGAAATTATGCGGTGGGTGGAGCACTTCTCCTATCCCTGAGAGTGATTCATGTAAAAGGGAGACCTGAATCAAAGGTGGACTGGTTCGACTTTGGATGGTGCCTGAATCACGAGGTCTTTGAGTTAATCGGCCAGCCTTCCTTCAGCTGACCTCATTAGAGAATCATATGAATGTGAAGAAACCAAAATACTTCACCAGGGGTGGTGGATCCCAGAGCCATGTGGAGAGATGCCCTATGCAACAGATGACTGGAGAGTCTTCTCTGTGCATTTCCACCTTTCCCATTACTAGGGAAATTGGTCCAAATACAAAGTGAGAGCAGGTGCCAGTAATACTGATAACCCCACATTAGCCGAGGAGACCCTGGTTTTCAGACCTGATAGAGCTGAAAATTGGACCTTCACCACCACTTCCAAAGAGACAGGACATTCTCTTGCAAGGTCCTCTTCATCATCTGAACCTGAACTGGCTGCATTTAAGAGCCTGGCTATTGAAAGGGAAGTGCTAGTATTGCTGGGTCTGTCCTCCCAAAGTCATCAATACACTACTTACATCTAGAAAAATATCCACACTAAAAGCATAGTCCACTGTCTGGGCCAGGTTCTGTGGCTAGGGCCAGGAACATGAGGCATATCTCAGGAATTTTGGCCATTTTGAACTTTCTCCAAGAAGGCTTCGACAAAGGTCTCCAACTGAACATTATAGCGTAAGAACATAAGAATGGGCATACTGGGTCATACCAAAGGTCCATCCAGCCCAGTATCCTGTCTGCCGACAGTGGCCAATGCCAGGTGCCCCAGAGGGAGTGAACCTAACAGGTGATGATCAAGTGATCTCTCTCCTGCCATCCATCTCCACCCTCTGCAAACAGAGGCCAGGGACACCAATCCTTCCCCATCCTGGCTAATAGCCATTAATGGACTTAACCTCCATGAATTTGTCCAGTTCTCTTTTAAACCCTGTTATAGTCCTAGCCTTCACAAGCTCCTCAGGCAAGGAGTTCCACAGGTTGACTGTGAGCTGAGTGAAGAAGAACTTCCTTTTATTTGTTTTAAACCTGCTACCCATTAGTTTCATTTGGTGGTCCCTCGTTCTTATATTATGGGAACAAGTAAATAACTTTTCCTTTTTCACTTTCTCCACACCACTCATGATTTTATGTACCTTGATCATATCCGTCCTTTAGTCTCCTCTTTTCCAAGCTGAAAAGTCCTAGCCTCTTTAATCTCTCCTCATATGGGACCTGTTCCAAATCCCTAATCCTTTTAGTTGCCTTTTTCTGGACCTTTTCTAATGCCAGTATATCTTTTTTGAGATGAGGGGGCCACATCTGGACGCAGTGTTCAATATGTGGGCGTACCATGGATTTATATAAGGGCAATAAAATATTCTCCGTCTTATTCTCTATCCCTTTTTTAATTATTCTTAACATCCCGTTTGCTTTTTTGACTGCTGCTGCACGCTGCGTGGATGTCTTCAGATAACTATCCACGATGCATGTCAGGTGTTTGTCCTTAGTAGTGTGATGTTTTCAGGATCCACGGGTTTGCTGGTGTGACAAAGTGGGAATTTTCTGTAATATTTTTATGAAGCCTGGACATGCCTCAGTTTCCATTGCTTTGCATTACTTTGCATTGCTATCCAATGGGCATAAATGGGTTAATGCTGCTCTTGGAGCAGAGCAAGTGATATGAAGTAGTTGGGTCACCTAGTTGTCTGGGGTGGAAGGAATGGGCCATTAAAGGCCTGACTGAAACCAGCCTCTGTCAGTGACAAATCTGGAAGGACAACAGAATTCCTAATAACTGAACAATTGACACCCAACATCAAGAAACTCCAGCAGGTGGGCATGTGAATTCAGCACGTCTCTGCCTGAGGATAAAGAACCGAAAGGTGTCAGGTAGCTGAAATAAGGCTTACCCTTGCGGGTGAGACAGAGCACTCACTTTGGACTGACAGAGACCGAAGTAAAGAGCCAGCATGGACCCCACGTGTGCTTGGCGCTGGAATGCTGGCTTGGCCTGAATGGGGACTGTGTCTTAGCCTTTATTTCTGTGTGCTAACCTAAGGACTTCCCAGTGCTGTGTTCCAGTTGACTAATAAACCCTACTCTGTTTTGAAAAGACAGCCTGCCGCAAATGCTTGCTGAGGTGCTTTGATCCCTGAAGAGTGTAAAAGTCTATGACCAGGAGTCTTTCAGTGAGACTCCATGGGCAGAGTTCATGGTGTCAAACAGGAGTGCTGGAGCTCAGAGGTTCAGTCTCAGGAATTGAGGCTGCATGACCTACTCCTAAGAAGGAGTGGGATCCCTTAGGGGTCTGCCACACAGAAGGGGTTCCTCCAAGGGACTATTTAAAAGTTTGCTCGTAGCACAGAGCCTGTGGCCTGGTAGAGAACCCACAGGTAGGCAGATTTCTTAAAGTAATCTGATTAGCCAAGTCAGTGGTCAGGCTGCTTTTTCCAAGAACCTGTTGCTTGTGCTGAGAGCCCTGACAAGTCATCTCTTTGAACTACTAACACCAGCATCAGCATTCCATTTCAGGTTTCAGAGTAACAGCCGTGTTAGTCTGTATTCGCAAAAAGAAAAGGAGTACTTGTGGCACCTTAGAGACTAACCAATTTATTTGAGCATGAGCTTTCGTGAGCTACAGCTCACTACATCGGATGCATACTGTGAAAACTGCAGAAGACATTATATATACACAGAGACCATGAAACAATACCTCCTCCCACCCCACTCTCCTGCTGGTAATAGCTTATCTAAAGTGATCATCAAGTTGGGCCATTTCCAGCACAAATCCAGGTTTTCTCACCCTCCGCACCCCCCCTCTCTGGTAATTGCGTGACCAGAGAGATTGAAGTGTTCTCCGACTGGTTTATGAATGTTATAACTCTTGACATCTGATTTGTGTCCATTTATTCTTTTACGTAGAGATTGTCCAGTTAGACTAATGTACATGGCAGAGGGGCATTGCTGGCACATGATGGCATATATCACATTGGTGGATGTGCAGGTGAACGAGCCTATGATAGTGTGGCTGATGTTATTAGGCCCTTTGATGGTGTCCCCTGAATAGATATGTGGGCACAGTTGGCAACGGGCTTTGTTGCAAGGATAGGTTCCTGGGTTAGTGGTTCTGTTGTGTGGTATGTGGTTGTTGGTGAGTATTTGCTTCAGGTTGGGGGGCTGTCTGTAGGCAAGGACTGGCCTGTCTCCCAAGATTTGTGAGAGTGTTGGGTCATCCTTTAGGATAGGTTGTAGATCCTTAATAATGCGTTGGAGGGGTTTTAGTTGGGGGCTGAAGGTGACGGCTAGTGGCGTTCTGTTATTTTCTTTGTTAGGCCTGTCCTGTAGTAGGTGACTTCTGGGAACTCTTCTGGCTCTATCAATCTGTTTCTTCACTGCCGCAGGTGGGTATTGTAGTTGTAAGAATGCTTGATAGAGGTCTTGTAGGTGTTTGTCTCTGTCTGAGGGGTTGGAGCAAATGCGGTTGTATCGCAGAGCTTGGCTGTAGACGATGGATCGTGTGGTGTGGTCAGGGTGAAACCTGGAGGCATGTAGGTAGGAATAGCGGTCAGTAGGTTTCCGGTATAGGGTGGTGTTTATGTGACCATTGTTTATTAGCACTGTAGTGTCCAGGAAGTGGATCTCTTGTGTGGACTGGACCAGGCTGAGGTTGATGGTGGGATGGAAATTGTTGAAATCATGGTGGAATTCCTCAAGGGCTTCTTTTCCATGGGTCCAGATGATGAAGATGTCATCAATATAGCGCAAGTAGAGTAGGGGCGTTAGGGGACGAGAGCTGAGGAAGCGTTGTTCTAAGTCAGCCATAAAAATGTTGGCATACTGTGGGGCCATGCGGGTACTCATAGCAGTGCTGCTGATCTGAAGGTATACATTGTCCCCAAATGTAAAATAGTTATGGGTAAGGACAAAGTCACAAAGTTCAGCCACCAGGTTAGCCGTGACATTATCGGGGATAGTGTTCTTGACGGCTTGTAGTCCATCTTTGTGTGGAATGTTGGTGTAGAGGGCTTCTACATCCATAGTGGCCAGGATGGTGTTATCAGGAAGATCACCGATGGATTGTAGCATTCCATTTGTCTATCATAACCTGCTTTCTGATAGCCATAATGTTTGCCACATGAGTGTCTGAGCTGGTGGCCTTATCTATGCAGGAGCCTTACTGCTTGTTCCACGAGGACACAGTGGTGCTTAGAACTCTGGAATAGTTTATTCCATGCTTCCCAAGAGGAGGTTCTTCCCTCATTCTATCTGAGGTCACAATATCCTACCGAGAAGAGGGAGTGCACCTTTGATGTCAGAAGAGCCTGAAAATTTACTTCAAACATACAGAATCCTTGAGAAGGTTGGGTGCCCTATTCATGTCTTTCCATCCAAAATGCAAAGGACCCAGAGCTTCCAAGCCTCCATTGCTAGATGGATTAGTCTGTGCATTATGGAGGCATACAAGGCACCAGAGTCTGATCCTAGAAGGGTTCAGGGCATGCTCTCAGCTATCCCTGGCTAACTCATAGGCAGAAAGAGCAAATGCACCCACACAAGCAATTGGCAAGGCAGCCACCTGGTCAACGGCTGCTACCTTTATCAAGCACTATAAGGTGGCCTTCCTGTCATCTGCAGAAGCTCCATTTGGCAGGAAGGTGCTGGAGGCAGTAGCCCAGATATAAATCTTTTAAATGGGGAGGGATACCTTTTTTCCTCCCCTCTCTTCTTTCTGACCTTTTCTACAACCCTCCCTACATCTCTTCACCTCTTGCTACTTCCCAGACATCCAGACTTGTGGGAAATGCTGGACTGTAGAACCGAAAATTTCTTACCGACGGTTTCCTTTCTGCAGGTAGAAGCTCCCACAATTCTACCCACCCCAAATGGTTTTTATAAGACAAAAAATCAGATGCTGGCATGGGATTTTTACCATGTGAACGTTTTATGGTTCACTGTACATAGTTGGTCTAGTTACCTCTGGGACTGTTTTTACTAATACTGTTTATACAAGCTTTTATGGCTTTGGAATAACTCATCTGATAGTAAGTGGAATCAAAGGGGGAATGACCCAGAGCTCATAACTCCAAGACTTTGATTTGCATCAGTGAGCTGCAGAAGGAAGGGGAGCTGCCCAGACATCCAAGTTTGTGGGAGACAATACTAGCAGAAAGGAAATGATGAGTAAGAAACTTTCAGTTCTTTTTGCAGTCCAAATATCAAGAAAATGAACATCTGTCAAAATACGACATAATGTGTATACGACTTTTTCTAATAAAAAGTTCTGATTCACAGTTTTTCATGCTATTTTAGGTATGGTGGTTCTGCAATACTCTCTTAATTTGTATCTAGGGGTGTATATTCTAGAGCTGGTCAAAAAAATTTCGATGGAACAGTTTTTTCTGTTGGAAAATACCATTTTGTTTGCAATCAGAAAGTTGATTGCGTCAACTTCAACTATTTTGACAGAAGTTTTAAAGTGAATTAAAATTAGAATAGACTATTTCAACTCATTTTGTTCTGACGTAGGATATTGTATTGACGTTATCAAAACGAAAGTATATTTCCAAATATTTTGTTCTTTGAAATATTTTGAGATTTTGACTTGGTCCTGAATCAGGAGGAAAAACAAATGTCAAAATGTCAGAATTTTCAGTGGGATGAAAATTCTGTTTTCTGACTAGCTCTAGTAAATACCCAAATTAAACTACATGTATACTTGAGAACAAGATTAATTGTACGGGCATGAAAGCGAAAGCATGTTGCAAGATAAAACAGTTTTAAGATTGCTCACCATGCACTAGGACAACTCAGTGTACTCTTTCTAGGTTAATTGCTTACTTTGGATTTACAGATATTGTCCCCCCTGGGCCGAATTAGTGAGGCACTGGCTGATCTCACCAAAGCTATTCAGCTGCAGCCATCGGCACGACTTTACAGGCACAGAGGTACTCTTTACTTCATATCTGAGGTTAGTTTTTGCCATTAGATGTTACTTTCATGAAAGAATAAGGATTTCTCCCCTCCCCATTGAAAACTGATCTTCAAATAGTTGTGATTGACCAGCAGTTTACTTGCCTTTTTAGAGAATTGTGATCCGAGGAGGCCTTAAAGTATTTTGTTTTCATGAATAACTTAGTGGAGTGGAGCAAAGTGGAGATACATTATATAAAAATTAATGCAGACAATCTGTAATCTCATAACTACTTTTGTGCCTTCTGGGGTCTGTGGGGGTGCGCAGAGAAACTTGCTTTGGTAGTGAATACCATAATTGCCAATGGGGATTATGGTTGGATACTCATTTTTAAAAAGGAAAAATATACAGAACTACTGCTCTGTGTGTGTGTACACACACCCCAGACCAGCAATATAAAACAATCTCTTATCCTTGCAAAATGCTGAAATCCTATCTTCTTGCGATGAAAATAATTATTACAGTAAAAGCTGTTTTATCCGGCACTTCTCCAGCCAGAAAGCTCTATAAATTAGCATTTCTGATCTTTATTGAAATTCCAGTTATAGTGCAGTTGGTGCAGGGCCAGCTGGGGGTTGGGGCATGGGAGGAGGTGTGGCGCACGGGCTCTGGGAGGGAATTTGGGTGCAGGAGGGGGCATGGGCTCTCGGGTGGGGTGAGGGCAGGAGGCTGGGGTGCAGGAGGTGGTGCGGGGTGACAGATCCAGGGGGCACTCATCTTGGGTGGTTCCCCACAAGTCGTGGCTGCTCCTAGGCAGAGGCATGACGAGCAGCTCTGCACGCTGCTTCTGCCCACAGGCACTGCCCCCACAGCTCCCATTGACTGCGGTTCCCAGCCAATGGAAGCTGCGGAGCTAGCGCTCGGGGTGGAGTCGGGGCAGTGTGCAGAGTCGCCTCCTGCGCCTCCGCCTAGGAACAGCCGGGATAGGTTGTTGCTTGCGGGGAGCCGCCCGAGATGAGTGCGCCCTGGATCCGGCATCCTGGATCTGGCATCCTGCACCCCCTCACCCCAAACCTCTGCCCTGAGCCCCCTCCCTCTAAGTTAAGCAGCATTTTTCACTTACCAGCACTCCCTCTCCCCCTACCCCCTTCCCCCAGCATGCCGAATGAAACAGCTTTTACTATATTATTATTATTTTGGCATTTTTAAGGACATGGCTTCAGGTTAGTTTAGATATTGTTACCTCAGAAATGGTATGCACATTGAATAGCTGATATCCCAAGGGGATGATGTGAAATCAATTTATTCAGTTGACTTCACTCAGCCTATTTTCAACCCATTTCTCCATTCAATTAATCCAATTTTTTTCTTGCAACAGTTGCTATGAGAGGAAAGATGGAAATAAATTGTGCTGTACATTCCCTTTAGTTTGCCATTCTGACTGACATTTGGCTATCTCTGCTGCTTTTATATGATGCTGGAGCTGAATGCCTTCTATTTTCCTTCTTAAGGATATTTGCTTTCCTTGTTCCTTCTAAAGAAGAGGCATTTTATGTCAGCGCTGTTGAGATTGAGTCAGCATCTTAGTATAAACCTAGAACTCCAGATCACTCCGTTGGAGTAAAATGCATACATGTAACCATAAGAGGGTTTGTCTGTATTCCTCTTTATCAGCTAGATCTAGCAATTTCTGTGTCCTCTGAAAGCTGTTTTTGTCCAACAGGACTATGCAACAGCTCATGAAGACTTTCAGCGCTCCTTGGAACTGAACAAAAACCAGCCTGTAGCTATTCTATACAAAGGCTTAACCTTTTTCCATAGAGGACTTCTGAAGGTAAATTTGTTTTTAAATATCCACTTACAGAACAATGCCTTTAATATTAAAGTTACTTCTATAAAATATTCTAGCTATTGTAGAAATTCTGTAGGTGTCCTTGTTTTTTCTCATGCCTGAGATAAATCATCATACCAAACCTTTTTAGGCTCTGTTAAATCCAGTGGCACTTCTTGGTTCACTGAAAATATATCTGATGCATCATAGTGACATGTAGATATCAGATACTCTCACTGGAACGCATGTGAATGATGGAATATATGATGTCAAATAGGGACAGATTTTCAAAAGTGCTTGACACCCAGGGGCTGACACTGAAAATGTGTCCAGTTAAGTCCAAAATTTCTTTCTATCAAATGAAAAAGAATGCCTAGGAATATTGGCAAGGAAGGGGGCTGGAGAGGAAAACAGTGGTAGCTTCCTTACCTCATGGATTAGGAGAGGGTAAGGAGGGATCCTCTCCAGGTAGCCAGTGCGGATTTTTACATGTGCATTTCATGTATGTCAAACTTGAAACTCTCACGCATACATTATGGAAGGGAAAAGCCATGTGCCTCCAAAGACTCGAAACAGAAGGCAAATAACTCCCCTTCACACAAAATGGATTTTCTAAAAATCACATGATTTTGGAAGTCTGACTCAGATTTTTGAGTGTTTGAGGTTAACAATACTGGATCTGTTCCTAACTTACTGGAGTGGGGGGGAGCTGCTGGTGCTTTTTTCTCAGGGTTCCTCCCTTCCCAGTCCATCTCCCGGCTGCTGCTTGTTTTCCCCTATACTTTTTCCATTCCTGAACTTTCAATCAAAAATCAGGAAAGAGAAGGTTAAGGACCTTAAGTGATCAGGCTGTCTATTGTAAATCTTATCTTAAAGTAGCACGGGGGCCCTTGGTAGTGAACTAGATCCCCAGTGTAGTGCTGACGTGAGAGAAATGTGCTACCTACTGAATCACCGGCACACTGGGTTACCATTGGTGCACTTCTATCCAAATTGTGATCTAAACTCACCCTGATTAATTTGAGACTTGATGAGATAGATCCTGGAGTGGATGCATGATTGTAATTAGTGCAGTAACTGAATTCTTAACACACTCAAACTAGAATTGAAATACTGTAATTTGCTGGTTCTGTCGTTTACCTGTTCTCTAATTCAGAACACCTATATTCATTTGTTTAAATCCCACCCTTGCCTCAGGGCTTAGTGGGCCTTAAGTTCTTCTACTGACTAAAGTCCTGCCTGTGCTGTTTGTCATTTAGTAAAGCATTAAACTAAGAAGTATCAAGAGAATTAATTTGAGTCCTAGTTAATGAGCTGTGAGTCTGAGGTTTAGGTTAATGAAGTCTGGACCATATAAAGTAATTTGAACTCCAACTGACATGGCTCTGCCAGCAAAAACCCTACTGTAGATCAGCGAAAAAGATTATTTTGCCAATGTAGCTTATTTCATTCGGGCAATTAGTTTAAGCTATACCAGCGGTAGAACTCTTTTGCCAGTATAAGTTGCATCTCCATGAGTGCAATATACTGGTATATCTATCCTGGCAGACTGGTTTAAGTGTAGACTAGGCATTAATTCCCTCTGTAGGGCTTTGAGCCAGAATCTGTAACCACTTGAAGGGCTTTGAGCAGGAATCTGTAACCACTTGAACGTAGGGCAGAATACATCAGAACAATAAGAGGGGCAGGGCTGTGAAGTGAGTCTGCCTGTAAAAGTTAAAAGGGGTGTTGTAAATGATGTGGGGAGGGGGGGTCTGGAGAAAGGAAGGATGGCTTTGTAGTTAAGGCATTGGACTGAATGAAGAGTTCTGTCCCTTGCTCCATGTGGTACTGGGAGAGTCACTTACTTCATAGCTTAGTATAGCCATAAAAAGGATTATAGCTTTTTTTAGTTTTGTGATTTGTAGCACAAACTACTATAATATTTTACTTGTACATTTTTGGATTTTGTAATGTATAATGCCTTGGTCAAACTTTCCATAGGTCTTACGTAACAGCACAAAAGCGTTAGTAATTATTGAATTACTGTATTTTAAATTCAAAGTTATAGAATTTAACTTTAGACAGGGATAATTAATGACAGCTAATTATGATGTCTACTTTTGTTTTATGTAGGAAGCTATTGAATCATTCAAAGAAGCCCTGAAGCAGAAAGCTGATTTCATAGATGCATATAAGAGTCTGGGACAGGCCTATAGGTAAGCACGTTCAGAAATAGCTTTTTAATAGCACAGGCTTAAAGCCTCTAGCACACTTTCAACACTACATATCAATAAAAATAACACAATAGTCTTTAATCATCGATTTGTTTCTCTATATTTTGATGTGTTATTGTTGATCGTTATCAGTAGCATGGACTTCAGGGTTGAGCTCAATATAAATAATACAAAGGCAAAGAGGTTTTAATATAAATCCAAAGTAAACAGGTCTCTTAAGGTATATCTACACTGCAGTCAGAGATTTGATTGCAGCTTGGGTAGGTATACCCCTGCTAGCTTTAATCTAGCGAGCACAGCTAAAAATAGCAGTGAAGATGTGGTGCTGGGGTCCCTGAATGAGCTAGCAATGCAAGCATGTACCCAGGAGGGCTTGCACAGTCCATGCTTCCATGTCTTCACTGCTATTTTAGCCCTTGCTAGCTAGATTAAAGCTGACACGAGTATATCTACCCAAGCTGCAATCACACTTCCAATTGCCATGTACACATACGCCTTAGGCCCTCATTTACCTGATCTTTGGCTTCTATCAGTACCATAGTTGAAACATATCCTCAAGTGATATTGTATGAAAGGGGGGTAAACATTATGAACCACAGTTTACTATTTTACTCTCATAATAAGAACTTGCTAGATAGTTTCTGAAATAATAATATTTAGACAGCAATGAGTGGTTTTTGCACGTTTAGGTTTTGACTTAATTATATAGTGCCACAAGTGTGATAGATGCTATATTAAATAATATAAACACAGGGTCTCTGCCCTTAAGTATTTGCAATCTAAATACTTACACTAAAACTGGGAAGTAATTATTTTTAAAAACCAACCTGTTGTTTTTTGCTTTAAGTATCGGCAAAATAAATTCTTTTTGAAAAACCTAATGTATTTAAATTGCACTCTTATTCAGGAGTTAGGTAATGGGTCACTCTTTAGTTTTGCTTTTAATAATGATATTGAAATGACAAGAAGAGAACTTGACTTTGTTTATTAAGGCTTTGAATGTGTGTCTTTAAAAAGGTGATCTACAGATAATAACTAGGAAGAAAAGCAGTTGTGGATAGGTTATATATTTTAAAAAATGAATAATACATAAACCAGTCATCACCCTGACTACTATGCCTGTATACTGTATTCCTTCTCTTCCCCACAGCCCTCTGTACTTCGTCAGTTTTTTCTTTCATATTTTGGACTATTATGTTTGGAAAACACCTACATTATGTGATTGGTGCTGCTGCAATATAAATTGTTGCCTGTAATCTAAATTTGGCCCCCTGGCAATATGTATTATAATATAGTCTTGAATAACATGATCACCTACTATTTTTTTCTACAGGACCCCTGCCTCATATTGTGCACAGGATGGACTGTGCTTGTTGACTGTGTACCTATTCACAAGTTTTTATCCTTATAATTCAGTCTGTTATTTGCCTATGCCTTATTTACCACAGCATCTAAACCTTGCACTGAGTATGCAATTATTAATTCTTCAAGGGTTTTCTGTGACACTCATCACTGTAGTATGGATGCTTCACAGATGTGAATTCATTGATCTTCACAACATTCCTTTGAAGGAAGAAGTGGGGATTTTTATTCCTGTTCTATACATGGAGAATGGAAGCAAAAATTGTCAAATGTCTCGTATGTTTGGGTGCCCAGTTTAAGGATCCTAGGGCCTGACTTTTTCAGAGAATTCACAGTTGCCAACCCCAAAAATCATGAGTCAAACCCCCCAAAATCATGAGATTATTTTTTAAAAGATTATGTTGTGATTTTGATCTGTCATTTTTGAACTCACTGCCCAATGTGTGGGTGTGACAGTTAGCATTGCCAGCTTTCTCTGATTTGAGAGAGGTGATTTTGGCCACCACTGCAGGAGCTTTTACTGTTTCCCTGATGCTGGAAGCTCTGCACGATCTCCCTAATCCCAAAACTCTAATTTAACTGTCCCTCCATCTGTCTACCCCCCATCCCTCCCAGCCCAGCAATTCATTATCCAACCCTCTCAGCCCTCGCATCAGTTCTGTCTTTTCCCATCTCCTACATCTACTGCTCCTGCAGGTTCATGATTCTTCTCTGCCTGGAGTGGGGGCAGGTCCTGGGGCTCTCTCCCTTCCCAGTCCTTGTGTTGTAGGGATAGAGAGGGGAAGGAGGAGGAGGAGCAGAGGGAAGATTGATCCATCTTTCACCACAGGGAGGAGGAAGCAGAGCCCTTGCACTGCTGGTCTGTGTGCCCTCCTGTGAGAAAGGTGTAGACTGCTCCCTCTCCCTTCTCTCTGCTCGTGTGAGCGGAGCAGAGAGAGATCTGCGTTCTCCTATAGCTGTTTCCCAAGAGGTAGGTAGCCAATAAGAGGATGTGGGGGCCCTTGCACTAGGCAGGGTTGAAATTCAGGAGAGGGGTGGAGCTTCTTGCATCATTGTGAGGCTGGTTCAACCCCCAGCCAGAATTGTGTTACGTGTGAAGAAATTGCAAGAGTTGGTGACACTGGAATATTTAACATTTCATAGCCCTTTTAAATGTTCATAACACAGGTCCCATTGACTTAATTTACATTTATTAATGCTTAGCACAGGTACAAATCAGACCCCAGGGCCTCAAGTTGGGAACCCAGAAAATGAGGAACACACAATTAGTGACCACCTGTGAAAAGCTTGGTGTATGTGATTTCTTCAGAGTCACGTTGGAATTCTGTGGCAGAGTAGGGATAGAATCCTGTTCTCCAGGATGGCCTTCAGCTGTCTTCACCATGAGATGCTTCTTTCTCTTCCTACCGTCCCTGCCTCATTCATTACACATCTTCCAACTTCTGCAACAAATGTGGCAAGGATCGTACAGAAAAAAGCCTCCTTCATTGTGCACTCTTGCTTCATTCCCTGAGCGCCATTCATCCTGTCCACTGAATAAATAAGGCAGAAGTGCTGCAGGGAAAAAAGTATGATTATCATGTAATTCAAGACTGTATGCGCAAGGGGGCAGAATTAACAATCGCACAAGCAACCTTATAATAGCATATTTTAAAAAAATAGCCTATTAAGGTTATGTCGTGGATGTCTCAAAATGGACAAGGTAGGGTGGTATTTCAGCACATTAAGTTCATACTTTTGTCTTTTGCCAAGCACAGACCCAATGCAATCACCAGTGCCTTGGTGCACATCTAATCATGCACTTTCCTGGTAACATCATACCCACCATGCCTGAGTGCTGGAGCCTGCCTGTAAGGCAAGTCCTGTTTTATTTTCCCCAGTAGTGTATGTGTAAATCTGAATCCATTAAGATACACAATATTAACTTTTTGAAAAGTAACCTCTTTATTCTTGAGGAGGTTTTTAAGCACAAATATTGCTTTCTTTTCTAATATAGGCAGGCTCCGTCAATGGGGGGTTTGGCAACTGTTAGCAAAATGGATGTTGGGATATGTAAGTGACGGGAGCTGGCAGTCATGGGTATGCGGCAGTGTTGTTTCATTTCTTATTCAGGTCTGCTAATTTAAAGTTTAGCAAATTTTAAAAACACGCCAAATGTGTCTCTCAAGTCACTTGGAAAACAAAGCTTTATTTGCCAACATTTTTCAAACAGTATTTGCAGATCACCTTTTAAGCTAAAGATTAGATCATAAATGTATAGAATATTTTTAAGGACAGAAGGGGTTCATTGTGATGATCTAATCTGACTGCCTACATAACACAAATCTTAAAATATCACCCAGTAATTCCTGCATCAAGTTCAATAACTTGTGGTTGAAATAGACCGTATCTTTTTTCAGATCATCTGCTTTTGAAAAGGCTTTTGAATATGAACATTAATCAGTTAATGAACCAGCTTAAAAAACATAAACTAGTTCTTCTGCTTGGTAATTGCATGTGCTTTGATTCTTTATTTTTAGTGCTGCTATCTTAAATGTGCGTGGTTGATTGGAACTCATTTAATATATTAAAATTGGATACTGTAAACGTAATTCAGAATCTTTGGTTTTACATGCCAGTTTTATCAAAAGGATATTAATTTTATTTTTAAAACTATATCATGTTCTATTGGCTGTATCTACTTCTGAAATTAAATAATTCTAAACATAATGATCAGTTTGGCCACTAACTGAAAATTGGCACGTTTTTTCAATTGGCAGCTTCTGAAAGACATAAAATTTACCTACACTTCTGAATCCGTCCTTATAAATAGCTTTTTTTGAGGGGGAGGGATATCAGCTGGACTGCTTCAGTTGTATCTTATTCAAGGGTGCTCATTGTAGGAGGCTTTCATTCTTGTTTTTTCTGAGGAAGTACTGTTCAGGAAATGCATGAAGTTTCATAGTCAGTCAGTGGTTAATGCCCACAAAATTGTGTGAATCCAGGGTCTAGTGCAGGGGTCTCAAACTCAAATGACCACGAGGGCCACATGAGGACTAGTACATTGGCCCAAGGGCTGCACCACTGACCCCCTGCCCCCTGCTGCCCCGCCCCTACTCCATCCCTTCCGTGAGGCCCCATCCCTGCCCCACCTCTTCCCATCCCTTCCCTGAAATCCCCACCCCAACTCCACCCCCTCCCTGTCCCAAGGGCTGCGGCAGGGGAGCTCAGGGCAGGGAGTTGGGGTGCAGGAGTGGTGTGGGGTGCGGCAGGGGGTTCAGCTGCAGGAGGGTTTCGGGGGGTGGGTCTGGCGTGGCGCGCATCGGGGGCAGGGCAGGCTCCCTGCCTGCCTGCCTGTCTGCCTGCCCGCCCTGCCCCCACGCCGCTTCGGGAAGCAGCCAGGACCTGGGGGGCATAGGGGCCTGTGTGTTGCCCTGGCCGCTCCTCCAGGTACCTCCCCCGAAGCTCCCATTGGCCACGGTTCCCCATTCCCGGCCAATGGGAGTTTTGGGGGAGGTACCTGGAGGAGCGGCCAGGGCAACACACAGACCCTTGTGCCTCCCCTCCCCCAGGTCCCAGCTGCTTCCCGGAGCGGTGTGGGGGCAGGGCAGGCAGGCAGGGAGCCTGCCCTGCCCCTGGTGCGCACCGGGCCGGAGCTGCTCTAGGTAAATGCTGGGGGGGCAGGGGTGCAGAAAATAATCGTGTTTGAGACCCCTGGTCTAGTGGGATTCTATATCCAAGAGTAGATTCTTTAAGTGAAGAATTGTTAACAATAGTTTGGTTGTCACTGCTCAATAAGTTGCAGAGCTCTTACCTTAGTCAAAGAAATTGTCCCTAATGTGATTTAAAAAAAAAAAAACAGCCCTAGCTATATCATATCTTTTCTTAATATCTTCATTTGGACTGCATTAAAATTATTTGGTAAAAAGGTAAGTTTGTATGTTCACCACTGCTTTTTATGTTCCTCACTTATGACTTTATGGAATTACCTAGGGAACTTGGTAACTTTGATGCTGCCACAGAGAGTTTCCAGAAGGCTTTGTTGCTAAATCAAAATCATGTTCAGACGTTACAGCTCAGGGGAATGATGCTTTACCATCATGGTAGCCTAGACGAGGCACTGAAGAATTTTAAGGTAAGTACAGGTAGACCTTAAAGATCCATACTAAATTAAGGATTGATATTTTTTAATTAGACCTAATGCTTATCAAATTACAGTTAAAATGAAACACAATAATATTATCTTCCACATTCTGAATATGAATGAAAATTTGTATTGCAAGTAAAATACAATTCTGTATACAATCTCTGTTTTGTAAGTATGATTTGTAGTCTTACAATTAGTGAATGATGAACCAGTTCTGGCATGGGAGGGAAGTGAGACATTTCCCCCCAGATTTACCAATTGTTAATACTAGACTCCTAAATGGTATTTTATAAGGTTCTGAAATACTCATATTGGTCTTATTCACTAATATTTTGGTCAGAAGTGGTACCCAAAGTTTTGAAATTCCATAAGGGGTTGGAGGGTTGTTCTCATAAGACAAGTAGCCAGTTCTGTAATCTCAAGGGTCAGATAAGCATCTGAACTTTTGGATGCTTATCTGAATCTTTTTAGTTTTCTCCATCATGAACAGTAACAGCTAACACTTGTGTAGAGTGATCCATCTGAAATTGTAAAAGCAGGTGCCTGCCCATGAGGTAGATAAATTATATTCTAATTTTGCAGATCCAGAAACTAAGGCACAGATGTTAAATGACTTGCCCAAAGTCACACAGTGAAACATTGGCAGAGCAAGGAACAGAGCCAAGTCTAAGAATCCCTACTTCCCTATCTTAACAGGCACACTTTCCTTCTTGTTTATTTAGAACATTGTATATCTTTATGTAAATTACCATGTGTCCCTGTTTTGTAACTCAGTTTGTAGATCTTATTGTATTTAAAAAACAGCTTAAGTTTAAATAGCAAGTGCTGTATGAAGAGATGCAGATAACCCATGGGTGTTTAATATATCCATATAATCAGAGAATTTTGTTTTGGTGTACCAAATTCTAAAGTATGCAGTTGTCTAGCATTATGCTAAAACTATCATGATGTAGTGCAGAATTGACTGTAAGGTCAATAGTAGTGCAGTGTGAATTTCAGACTATGATGCTTGGTGGAAAAGAAGAACTGATGGTGGATACATTGTATAAAGTTGCATCTTAAGAAAAATGTCTCCTATTTTTAGGGTCTGTTTGCACTAGGAAATGACGTGTTACGACAATCCTGATCAACAGTGGGTTCCTTGTAGCCTCACTCATCTGGTGCTGAAAACTGTTTAGCTGCAAGTGCAGCTTCAACAAAATCACTTGGTTACCGAAAGTGTGATCAAGATCAAGTTTCATGAGCACTGTTACATTTTGTGTAATGGTGCTGAAAATATTTTTCTCCACCTTAGCTAGCAATTAATTAAAGTGTTTTTAACATCAGTTGAAGAAAAGTCATTGGGAAAACAGTTGCTGACAACTTTTGAAAGTAAAAGACCATTCCCTGGTGTCGACCTTTCGAATAAAGAGCTTAGTAATGTATATTAGACTGTTCCAAGATATCCAGGTTAATTTTTGTATTTATTGACTTATTTCTTTAATCTTCTAGAGATGTCTTCAGCTAGAGCCATACAATGAAGTATGCCAGTATATGAAAGGTCTCAGTCATGTTGCAATGGGGCAATTTTATGAAGGCATAAAAGCTCAGACTAAAGTTATGTTAAATGATCCACTACCAGGCCAGAAGGCTAGCCCAGAGTACCTAAAAGTGAAATACCTCCGAGGTAAGTTACGGTTACGCAGGGCTGGGGGGAATCCTTTGACACAGGATTAAAATTGCCTAAGTGTTAGTCATTCATGGAAAACTATTGTTAAATAAGATGTATTTATTCACCTGAGTGCTGTGTTGAGTGAGCTGTCTTCACAAGTGTCTTGGTGCTTGTTTGTTCAGAGCTAAAACCCAGGACCAGAAATCAAACTTGGGTCTTGGTTAAGTAGTGAAAGTAACTATGGTACCACTTAACTGGCCTAGACTTTTAACAATTTAGCTAGGATCAAGTTTAATATTGATTAATTTAGTAAAGTATTTATCTTAAATCTCTTAACAAATATATAATCCTGTTTTAAATTCTTATTTGGGGGTAAATAACTGTTGGCCAAGAACAAAAATGACACTTATTTGTATTGTTTTTCTTTACCTCTGCAGAATATTCTCGATATTTGCATGCACATCTTGATACCCCTCTTACTGAATATAACGTAGATACAGATCTTCCTGGAAACTTTAAGGACCATTGGGCCAAAAACCTTCCCTTTTTAATAGAAGACTATGAAGAACAGCCAGGATTGCAGCCACATATAAAGTGAGTGGTTTTTAGACAGACCATTTAGAGTATTCCTGGTAGGATTTTTTTCAAAAAGGGGCACCTGAGGGTTAATTTATCACACATGGTTGACTTAGCCTGTCTGAAGCCCACAGAAAATGCCTGGAGCCCACAGAAAATGTTTGGCACTTTTTAAGTTCAGAGTGGCTGCAAATGCTTGATTTAGCTCACTAAAAAAGAGGCAGAATCAGAACTTGGTCAAAATGATCTTCTCTAGTTCCAAGTAATTCAGTAAAGATAATTCAGGTTACACAGCCATGTTAACTGTTTTGTTCTTTATTTTGTCTTGGAACCTGGATTAGTAATTAGATTATAGATCACTTTAGTTTTAGAGAAACTCAGGATAGACTTCCATCTGGACATCCATCTTTAGTGTAGAAACCTCAACTTGGAGTTTCCTTACTGTTGAGTATTTAAGTTTTTTTTTAAAAAGGGTATAGTTTCTCAGACATTAAATATATTAATTGTAACTCTAACTTAATGAAATTGTGTCTTAGCATAATTTATGTTACATTCCACCTCTAGAGTGGTAGTAATCAGTCACAGAAGCAAAGGCTTTGTCAGAATAGGATTTAAAAGTTTAACTATCAGGGAAGTAGACCTTTTCCCCATATGAGATTTTCTTTCTCTGAAAACTAGCCTTCAGTTTTATGGTCATTTGACACAACATGGTTTAGAAACTTGTCATTTTGTAGGTATGTGCTCAAACCTACATTTCTTATGCATGCAAAACATCTACTGACTTCAGTGGGAGTTTTAGAGAAGGAATTACAGAATCCGACCACTAGTCTGTGTTACTCCTCATGTTTTCTTCCATGCCATAGCTCTGATCCCTATGAAATTCAGGATTAATATACACTGAGGAGATGACTCACTATAGAGCCTTGCAATTTATTAGATATCTGTTGGAAATCACTTATTCTAATAATTGAATCTGATGGTGAAATATTGTTCCTGTTGAGATGAATGAGTTTTGCTATTGACTTCATTGGGGTCAGAATTTCACCTCGATTGTTTTGTGAGTGTATCTACAGTACGTGTGTTCTTTGGTACTGCTTTTAATTGTTTTCTGGGCTTGTGTTACTGACCACCACAAATACAGATTGTTTTTAAGCTGTTTTCAGGAGCCATCATGGCACGTGGTGGTTGATATTTACTTTGTGACATTTTTTCTTCAAGGGATGTGCTATTTCAGAATTTTGAAAGCTATAAACCTGAAGTGCAAGAACTTGTATGTGTGGCTGATCGTCTGGGTTCACTGATGCAATATGAGACGCCAGGATTCCTTCCAAATAAGAGAATGCACAGAGGTATGCGGGGGGACTCTGCATCTGGGAATGGAAATGAAAAATGTCGAGTCTTGCTTTGATAGCACTATGAGCTAATAAACTTAAGGTTGTTCTACACCGGGTACTTACATCGGCATAGCGACTTCTCTCAGGGGTGTGCAAAATCCACATCCCTGAAGGATGTAGCTTTGCCAACTAACTCCTGGTGTAGACAGCACTAGGTCGATGAAGAATTCTTCCGTAGCTACAACTTATATGGGAGGTGCGTTACCTACAGTGATAAAGCTTTAGCAGTTTAAGTAAAAACATACCCTTAAAGTGATATGCAGTTGTAAAACTTTTTTCTTTACATTTCCATTCACCTGAAATGTATTAACCAAAAATGTGTAGATGTAAAATTTACAAATACCCACACTTTGTATCTTAACATGTACATATTTTCAGAGGCATCATGGTCTAGCTCTGGACTGGAAACCATGAACTACTGGATCTTTATACCAGCATTAACATTAACTGCTTCTGTTCCCTTGAACAGGTTCCTTAACTTGGCTGCTTCAGTTCCCTCCTCAAAAATGGAGAGTCTCTGATTGGACTAACTGGTTCTATATATTCTTTGTTGTTCAGCAATGGGGCTGGCTGCGTTGGAAGTAATGCAAGCTGTACAGCGGACATGGGCAAACTCAAAAGTTCGAATGAATGGGAAAACCAGATTGATGCAGTGGAGAGATATGTTTGACATTGCTGTGAAATGGCGAAGGTAATGCTTAAGAGAAGAGAACTACTAAGCCTTACCTTGTGATATTGATGCAAATTCCTGTTAGTGGAATTTAAGACCGACTGGAACAACTGCAGGCTTTGCACTAGATGTGGAGGCAGATCTCTTCAGAATCTTAGTCCCTACTGCTTTAACTGCATCCTCACTTATGGGCTGGTCCACTGTGCAGTGTTTGCAAAGATTTTCATAAAGGGATGTTTAACAACTCTTCATCCAAAGGAGGAATACTCTTGCAGGTTGAGGTCTCCTTGGTCTGCACTTGGCAGAGATTAGAGGCACTGCACTTTTTCACAAGATGAATTTGAAGAGCTAAAATAAATAAGTATTTTAAAGGAGACAGAGGGTAGTGGAATACAAATCCATCTAGCAGAACAGAGGTTGGTTATTGTAAAGTAGTTTAGACTTTTTTCACATGCAGAGGACACTTGCATTGTATTTTTTTTTCCCCATCAGTTAATCCATTTGGACAGGGAAGTTCATTAAATAGTATAAATGCTACTGAGTTAATTGTAGGAATCAAAAAGATTTGGTATGCAGCGCATGCTTTAAAGTTCCTTTTTATAAAGAAATTTTGGGCTTTTTGTCTGAACTTTGCAAGGAAGAATAGAAACAAGTTGATAGCTTGTGATGGCACTCATTGTTTTTAAATGGGAGCCTGGATCTAACCATCTTTCTAGCCTCTGCTTTCAATTTTACTTGTTCTCAATAAGGTAAAAATAACTTGAATAGTAAGACTATTTTTGTTGTAAAAATTTTTTTAAAAAAATGTATACACTACATTTACTGAGTTATTTACAAAAATCTTACATTTTTTTCACCACTTTCTCCAACATACTGCCCCTTCCTGGGAGTTGCAATTCAGTTTGAAGAACTTTGCTCTAGATTACTGTTTCAAATGCAATCCAACTGATGACCAAAAGTTTCTGAGAAATGCACAAGGCACAGTAATTAGCACCCTTAGTGACAGTCACAGCAGAGATATAAATGAGAATCAACTGTTTCATTCTTCTTTGAGTGATTGGCCACATGGATGTCACTCTTGGCACATATGTGTGTGAGATTGGATTATTTTAGTTCTTAGTGTCTATTGGGGCCATGCCTGTGCTGTAGATGGCTTTAAGCTGCCCCCCCCCCACCTGAGGGCAGAGGGCCCAACTGTCCCTCAGTTCCTTCTTACAGCCTGTGGCAGCGAAATGAAACCCTTGTAACGTCCACTCTTTGCTTTGGTTTCAGAGTAACAGCCGTGTTAGTCTGTATTCGCAAAAAGAAAAGGAGTACTTGTGGCACCTTAGAGACTAACCAATTTATTTGAGCATAAGCTTTCGTGAGCTACAGCTCACTTCATTGGATGCATACTGTGGAAACTGCAGAAGACATTATATACACAGAGACCATGAAACAATACCTCCTCCCACCCCGCTCTCCTGCTGGTAATAGTCCATCCAAAGTGATCACTCTCCTTACAATGTGTATGATAATCAAGTTGGGCCATTTCCAGCACAAATCCAGGTTTTCTCACCCCACCCCCCTTCCAAAAACCACACACACAAACTCACTCTCCTGCAGGTAATAGCTCATCCAAACTGACCACTCTCCTTACAATGTGTATGATAATGAAGGTGGGCCATTTCCAGCATAAATCCAAGTTTAACCAGAACGTCTGGGGGGGGGGGGGCGGTAGGAAAAAACAAGGGGAAATAGGCTACCTTGCATAATGACTTAGCCACTCCCAGTCTCTATTTAAGCCTAAATTAATAGTATCCAATTTGCAAATGAATTCCAATTCAGCAGTTTCTCGCTGGAGTCTGGATTTGAAGTTTTTTTTTATTGTAAGATAGCGACCTTCATGTCTGTAATTGCGTGACCAGAGAGATTGAAGTGTTCTCCGACTGGTTTATGAATGTTATAATTCTTGACATCTGATTTGTGTCCATTTATTCTTCTACGTAGAGACTGTCCAGTTTGACCAATGTACATGGCAGAGGGGCATTGCTGGCAGAGGGGCATTGCTGGCACATGATGGCATATATCACACTGGTGGATGTGCAGGTGAACGAGCCTCTGATAGTGTGGCTGATGTGATTAGTCCCTTTGATGGTGTCCCCTGAATAGATATGTGGGCACAGTTGGCCAATACAGACTAACACGGCTGTTACTCTGAAACCTGTCATTATGCAAGGCACTGCATATAGCCGTATGGAGTGGAAATCTATCAACTGCGTGAAAAAACTTGTACAGATACAGACAGACATCATCTTCCTTTCCAAATGCAAACAGATGGACATCGTACCAAAAGGACTGAAGGTAAAAAATCCATTACAATCTACATATCACACAGACTATGCTGACAGCTTGTGCCACACGCTCTCAAAGAAACTGCGGAATCACCTGATCAACATCCTCTACAGCAAACAGGGAAAGATTAAGAATGAGCTCTCAAAAATGGATACTCTCATAAAAAACCAACCTTCCACACAAACTTCCTCGTGGCTGGAATTTACTAAAACTAGACAAGCCATTTACAACGCACACTTTGCTTCTCTACAAAAGAAAAAGGACACTAAACTTTCTAAACTACTACATGCTACAAGGGGCCACAGCAATGGTTCCCTCAACCACCCAGCAATATTGTTAACCTATCCAACTATACTCTCAGCCCAGCAGAAGCAGCTGTCCTATCTCGGTGCCTCTCCTTCTGCCCCTCCACCCCCACGAACATGATACAGTTCTGTTTTGACCTAGAATCCTATTTTCGACGTCTCTGACTCAAGGAATATTTCCAAAATACCTCTGAACAACATACTAATCCACAGAGGCCTCCCTACCAACATTACAAAAAGAAGGATTCTAGGTGGACTCCTCCTGAAGGTCGAAACAGCAGACTGGACTTCTACATAGAGTGCTTCCGCCGACGTGCACGGGCTGAAATTGTGGAAAAGCAGCATCACTTGCCCCATAACCTCAGCCGTGCAGAACACAATGCCATCCACAGCCTCAGAAACAACTGACATCATAATCAAAAAGGCTGACAAAGGAGGTGCTGTTGTCATCATGAATAGGTCGGAATATGAACAAGAGGCTGCTCGGCAGCTCTCCAACACCATATTCTACAAGCCATTACCCTATGATCCCACTGAGAGTTACCAAAAGCAACTACAGCATTTGCTCAAGAAACTTCCTGAAAAAGCACAAGATCAAATCCGCACAGACACACCCCTGGAACCCCGACCTGGGATATTCTATCGACTACCCAAGATCCATAAACCTGGAAATCCTGGACGCCCCATCATCTCGGGCATTGGCACCCTGACAGCAGGATTGTCTGGCTATGTAGACTCCCTCCTCAGTCCCTACGCTACCAGCACTCTCAGCTACCTTCGAGACACCACTGACTTCCTGAGGAAACTACAATCCATCGGTGATCTTCCTGATAACACCATCCTGGCCACTATGGATGTAGAAGCCCTCTACACCAACATTCCACACAAAGATGGACTACAAGCCGTCAAGAACACTATCCCCGATAATGTCACGGCTAACCTGGTGGCTGAACTTTGTGACTTTGTCCTTACCCATAACTATTTTACATTTGGGGACAATGTATACCTTCAGATCAGCGGCACTGCTATGAGTACCCGCATGGCCCCACAGTATGCCAACATTTTTATGGCTGATTTAGAACAACGCTTCCTCAGCTCTCGTCCCCTAACGCCCCTACTCTACTTGCGCTATATTGATGACATCTTCATCATCTGGACCCATGGAAAAGAAGCCCTTGAGGAATTCCACCATGATTTCAACCATTTCCATCCCACCATCAACCTCAGCCTGGTCCAGTCCACACAAGAGATCCACTTCCTGGACACTACAGTGCTAATAAACGATGGTCACATAAACACCACCCTATACCGGAAACCTACTGACCGCTATTCCTACCTACATGCCTCCAGGTTTCACCCTGACCACACCACACGATCCATCGTCTACAGCCAAGCTCTGCGATACAACCGCATTTGCTCCAACCCCTCAGACAGAGACAAACACCTACAAGATCTCTATCAAGCATTCTTACAGCTACAATACCCACCTGCGGCAGTGAAGAAACAGATTGATAGAGTCAGAAGAGTTCCCAGAAGTCACCTACTACAGGACAGGCCTAACAAAGAAAATAACAGAATGCCACTAGCCGTCACCTTCAGCCCCCAACTAAAACCCCTCCAACGCATTATTAAGGATCTACAACCTATCCTGAAGGATGACCCAACACTCTCACAAATCTTGGGAGACAGGCCAGTCCTTGCCTACAGAGAGCCCCCCAACCTGAAGCAAATACTCACCAACAACCACATACCACACAACAGAACCACTAACCCAGGAACCTATCCTTGCAACAAAGCCCGTTGCCAACTGTGCCCACATATCTATTCAGGGGACACCATCACAGGACCTAATAACATCAGCCACATTATCAGAGGCTCGTTCACCTGCACATCCACCAATGTGATATATGCCATCATGTGCCAGCAATGCCCCTCTGCCATGTACATTGGTCAAACTGGACAGTCTCTACGTAAAAGAATAAATGGACACAAATCAGATGTCAAGAATTCTAACATTCATAAACCAGTCGGAGAACACTTCAATCTCTCTGGTCATGCAATTACAGACATGAAGGTCGCTATCTTACAACAAAAAAACTTCAAATCCAGACTCCAGCGAGAAACTGCTGAATTGGAATTCATTTGCAAATTGGATACTATTAATTTAGGCTTAAATAGAGACTGGGAGTGGCTAAGTCATTATGCAAGGTAGCCTATTTCCCCTTGTTTTTTCCTACCCCCCCCCCCAGACGTTCTGGTTAACCTTGGATTTATGCTGGAAATGGCCCACCTTCATTATCATACACATTGTAAGGAGAGTGGTCAGTTTGGATGAGCTATTGCCAGCAGGAGAGTGAGTTTGTGTGTGTGTATGGGGGTGGGGGTGTGAGAAGACCTGGATTTGTGCTGGAAATGGCCACCTTGATTATCATGCACATTGTAGGGAGAGTGGTCACTTTGGATAAGCTATTACCAGCAGGAGAGTGAGTTTGTGTGTGTGGTTTTTGGAAGGGGAGGGGGTGAGAGAACCTGGATTTGTGCTGGAAATGGCCCAACTTGATTATCATACACATTGTAAGGAGAGTGATCACTTTAGATAAGCTATTACCAGCAGGAGAGTGGGGTGGGAGGAGGTATTGTTTCATGGTCTCTGTGTATATAATGTCTTCTGCAGTTTCCACAGTATGCATCCGATGAAGTGAGCTGTAGCTCACGAAAGCTTATGCTCAAATAAATTGGTTAGTCTCTCAGGTGCCACAAGTACTCCTACTCTTTGCTCTGTGCATTGCTAGTGTGAATTGGGATTATAGTTGGTAAAATGCATGTTGATAAAAAGAAATTGCTTTGTTAGGTAGTCCACATAGACTAGACACACCAACACCCAATGCAGGGTTGCTAGCAACACAGCAGAAACTAAATCACCAGAATTCATTGCTTATCTCTTGTGTGATGCTTTGATGTCTATGAATGATGAGTATTCTCAGTGCCTACTCTGCCTAGAAGAGGAACCCATCCCTGGGTGATGATCTGTATGTTGCTCCTTCTGTGTATGCACTTAGAGCTAGAGCAGCCTGCTGGAAGCTGTTCCTCCTTGGGAAATTGATACAAGCCTCCTCTGACTCAGAGAGGAAAGCTACTGCCCAGCCTCAGACATCTGGTAAGTCTTGCTCCATTAGTGCCCTGATGAGCCAAGATTTCAGTCCGAGTTTTCAGGCCACATCTACTGAAAGGCCCCATTTGTCTGCCATTATTCCAGCATTGACGTCCTCTGATGGGCAGGAGAGAGCATGGTTTTAGGGATGAGCAAAGCACAGGTCACCATCTCTGGTGCCTAGACTTCTCATTTGTGTTGGGCTCCATCTAAGAGCCAGAAGCCTGTTAAGGCCCCTTCTGCTTCCCCGGTACTGACCACTAAGAGAACAGAAGTGGTACGTACTAAATATGTGGACTCCACTTCTCTTGGTACCAACCTTACCACTGAGCACCTTGGTACGCAGAGTCTTGGCACCAAGTGCATCAGTACTAAAAGCCTAGTAGTACCTTCCACCTCAGTCCTGGTTGCCTTGAAACAGTGTCCAGCAGTATCTACTACCTTGCTACCAGCTATCTTTTAGTACTAAAGCATACATGGTGCCAAATGGATTTGGTGCTGGAGTCACCTTTCTTTAAGAGATTTAAATCACCAGCTTCAGAGTTACCAGAATATCAGGCTAAGGAGGTATTCCTGGTACTGGCCTCTCCTTCAGAGGCAGGGCACTCCCAGTAGAATGGCCCCTTCCCTTGGAGGAAGTATATTACTACTACTACTACTACTACTCCACCTCTGAGCATTGTAGGGACTCATCTCCCACCCATCTGCTCTCAACTCCCTGGATAGCACAGTGAGAAGTAGCAGAAAGAGGCCTGGGAGTCATAGGGAACATCCCTCCTGGAACCCCTCCAAGTGTTGTTTACACCGCAGTGCATACTATGGCTAATGCAACAGCAATGAGAAAGGTTGTCATAGCTTCACTACTTGAGGGTTCCTAGGGAGTTCCAAACAACAAGCAAGGACTTACCATTTGAGGGCAACAAACTTTGGCCCTCCACTCCTTTAAAGACAGGTAACTCTACTCTCTGGGCCTCTTTTTTCCACCCCAAAAAGAAGTTAAACAAGTCAGCAACCCTTATTCAGACAGCACTTCTCTGTCCAATATTATCATCGGCCACAGAGGACTTCAGAGCTACAGAGGAAGAGAGAGATTCCACTGGAGATGGCCCTCTGTCTAGTCTTCTGCTGCCCCTCAATCTGAGGCTTCCACCAGGCAATTTCAAAAGCATGGTAGAACCACCAGAGGATATTTTGTGCTTTAGACCCCCTCCCTGCCCTTTCCACATCAACATGGCAACTGCCTCTTTTATTTCCAGGAAGGTTGGGCTAGAATCATCTTGGACCAGTTGGTCCTACAACTGGAAGCAGTGGAGGAAGTGCCCTTAGAATTTAGGGGCAGACATTTTTATTCCCGTTTCTTTTTCATTCCAAAGAACCAGTAGTTGGCGACCCATCCTGGATTTTCAACATCCCAACAACTTCATTTGCTGGTTCAAGTTCAGGATGTTCACTTTGGCCTCCATAATTTTCTTGTTAGATCCTCAACGTTGGTTTGCAGCTCTTGACATGGAAAATGTGTTTCCATACATCCGTTCATCCAGCCAGCTAGATATACCTGAGATTCCTGGTAGAAACATCTAACTAAATGACCATTGTGGCCCCCTCATCGCTGTAGTATCTGAACATGTCAGTCTTTAATGTATTTATCCTCACAACACCCACAGGAGGTAGGGAAGTGCTATAATCTCAGTTTTACAGACGAGGAACCGAGGTACAGAGAGACTAATTGACTTGTCCAAGATCACACAGGAAATCTGGCAGAGCAGGGAGTTATTCCTAGGCTACAGCCCTAAACATTGGACCATCTATCAGTGAGTCCATCACTACCAGTACAGAGTCCTGCATTTTAGTTTTCCACAGCAGTGAGGATACTCATCAAGGACTACTACAGACTCTGGCAAAAGAACTGAGAGACAATGGGGAGGGAAGTGTGAGGACATCTAGGGCACTGACATGACCCCAATCGATATTGCTGGCCAGAACAATCTAGTCTTATGTGCATGCGCACCAAAAGCTGGAAGTCATGTGGACAATACATCCTGAAGAACCAGTTAGTGTATGTTTGTAACAGTTTAGGCTAATGGTTTATACTAAAGTATTGCCTAGAGGCCTTAACCAAGTCAGGACCCCATTGTGGTAGACTCTGTACAGACATAAAATAAAAAGACAGTACCTGTCCAAGAGAAGTTAGTCTAAAAGACAAGATATAACATGGGTGAAACAAGTGGAAGAGGGGGGATGTGGTAACAATAATATGAAAAGTTTTTATCCTAAACCGGCAGTGTGCACAATTATTAGGTATAACAAGCTAATCAGTAACAGTAATCTGTTACTGTTCTTAAAGGTAAATCTACCCCAAATAATATGTGAAGCATATCTGTCAGGCAATATTGAGGAAGCTTTTCCTCCCATCACCTGTGCTCCACCTGTTCTTTGGAGAAATGGAGGACTTCGCTCTTGAGCTAGTGCCCCCATTTTAGCAGCCCTATGTGAGAAAAGATAGGGAAGTGACGTTACTGCCCTCTTTTTCTTATGGGAAATGGTTCTTAGATACCAGAGGAGGATGCAAGTTGCTAGGTTATGGCATGTGTTTAAAAGTTTCTGTGGGTTCATTTTTTCCTGAAAATACTCTTGTTTTCCCTTTTGTATTAGGTAGTTAAAAAAGAGCTGTGAAAGATTGTAGGATACTTTGCAGCGATATACTCTGCTAGCATAGAGTTAACTATTTCAAACTGCCTAGCTGCATTAGTGAGAATTTTATTAACTGCTTTCTTCCTGTTACAGAGGCTGATACACGTTTCAGTAAAAAAAAATTCAGCATCTTGTTTTATGATCTCTGAATTCAAGCTTTGCCTAAAGCCACTGATGCATGAACCAGCTTTTCAGAGCCACAGGTTGGCAGTTATGTTTAAGATGGAACTTTAGAAATTTTCACAACTGATATTTTCTCGATTTTTAAAATATGACCTGTAGTAAGACTTCTTTAGAGGCACCAATTTTAACGAGGGTATTTCTTTGTAGGATAGCTGATCCAGACCAGCCCGTGCTTTGGTTAGACCAAATGCCAGCTCGAAGTCTTAGTAGAGGCTTTAATAACCACATCAATCTAATCAGGTATGACGTTTTTGCCAAAACTTGTTTGCATTAGGAATTGTGCTAAAATATGTAGGCTGCTCATGAACTGTTATAGCTGACCGTGTTCAGTGTGTGCATACTATGTTAATTTATAACATTTTGTTTTTAATTCTAGTAGAGCTTTTGTTTGTTTTTCCACTCATTAAAAACAAATGATCATCTCTTGTGATTTTTTTTCACCCCCTTCTTTTTTCTGAATCTAATGTTTTATGTTATCTTTATTTTGGGGAGAGATAACTAGGTCCCAAAAGATAACTTTTCATTCTAGTTTTTAATTCCCAAATTAAAATACCTACTTCATATACCTAAGATTAAACCCATTGTGGTTGATGTATTTTCCACAAATGCTACTCCCAGAAGGCAATACTTCCGGCTGTAATTGCACAGTACTAGGCCATCTGTGTTTCCTACTTTGTAACCATCATCCATTAGTAGTATTTAGAGGAAATGTTTCAGCATGGAAAGGTTAAAGACACAGGTGTCAAAATACCTAAGAAGCTGAAAGGTAACTGCAGTTTCAGAAAAAGGTTTGAACTTGAAAAATTCAAATCATTGTTGTACGTTCCTTCTTCTTCATACCATAAAACAAGTTTCTGTATAGCAAGCATTACAGCTCCACCTACCACGAAGCAATGGAGAAAGGAGAGAGACATGTGGCAAAATCACTGTCAATCATGGATGGAGAGTGTGTGTACACCCGCAAATATGTAGCTATGCTCCCATCTTCCTTTATGGGAAGCAGAATCCTTGTTTAGTCCTGCTACTTTTATTTCTAACCCTGTTTTTCAGTGTTACTCAAAAAGGAAAAAATTAGAAAAAGATCTTTCTAAAAATATTTTACAGAAAGAATCACTGATGTTTAAAGCCCGCAGTACACAGGATGATAGTATTCATTCTCTCTCTCACTCCCTCACTGCAACTCCTACCATTTCTCATTCCACAGATTGTAGCTCAACAATTGCCTTGTAGGGCCAGATACATTAGCTGTTCCCAGCTCTTCAGGGACACTGTTCTGCTCAGACTTCTGTATTCTTCCTCTCAAATTAAATTCTGCTTCCTGGGCCCCAGTCTTCTCTTAACTTTTGCTTTATCCTCCTCTCTCTCCCATTAAAAGTGCAGCAGAATCCAAATACTCTTCATTCTTAAGGTGTGGAGGGCAACCCCTACCTCAGGCCATAACTCATTACCTGTTTTTTTCCCCCCAATATGGGAGATAGAGGGAGAAGCAGAGCTTGAACCTCCAGCGTTGGCTTGTGTCGTCAGCATTAAAAAAAAGAACTCTAAGGAATGCACTACTCTTGCAAGGGTTATTAATAGTGAGGAAAGAGTGCCTACTTTGCAAAGGGATTTCTCTGTCTCTGACCTCCAGTTCAGTAACCCTGTTTGTCTCTCAGTAGTCTAAATATTTTTTATGCCTGTCATCAGATAACACCAGCAATCCTATAGTTTGATGTTCCAACAAGTCTAGTGAGTTCCTGTGAGATGTCGAGTGAAATGGGTTACTGTATCTTCATAAGGTGCAGGACCAGACTGAATCAATTTATGACCTTTCCTTTTGGCCTGACCTGTGCTCCCGGGGTTTGTACCATGGCTTGAATAATACTGATAGTGCTTTCTTGACAGAAAGATTGATTAATATACCTACCTGGATTACAGTTTGCAAGGGCCTAAATCTTCTCAGACTAATGAACCTTCCTGTTTCCCCATCACAAGTTTTGACTGCATCCTTTCTGAGTCCAAGAGCCCACTTTCTCCTTTGCACATTATTGAATTCCTTTCTGAGAATAACCATTTAATCTGGGATTGAATGAGGCAGATGGAGAGAGGAGTAGGTAGTAGTACTCTCCCAAGCTCTGCCTTCCATCCACTCATGACCATCAAAATGAGATATCACTTGCAATAGATTATGCAGTACTGCTGATCTGTTGCACAAATCTGCACAAATAGGATAATCCTTTCTTGTGTGCTTTAATCAGCCATGAAATAGTTTTGCAATACTGCTAATTCATATATCATAACTAGGCTTCAGATGAAAACCTTGTTGAGATTAATGGGATCATTTCATACCCCTGGGCTGTTGTTTCAGGCAGATTTAGGCATTGGTTTATGTTCAGTTTATATTTTGAAGGTTATTTTCACAACCATAAAGGCTAGAGGCTTAATCTTTATCAAACTTGGATTCTTGAGCACAAGATAGCAGCCTCAAAAAAGTAGTACTAATTTTCAGAGCTGCACGAACTAGCCCAATTTGATTTCTATATATAGTAGTTAGATTGAACCAAAAAGTTGTGTAGGTTGTTTCAAGGAGTACCAAGAGCAGTAAGTTTGATTGCTTGCAGTAGAGCCCATAGTAGACTGCTGGGAGGCTGGAGGTGAACCAAAATAACCTCTTTCTTTTTCCCACACTTCGACTTGCAGGATAAAGTACGTGTTCTCCTGGGAGTGGGGAAAAGGGTTTGGAAACTTGTTACCTTCACTCACCTGATTTCCTTGCATAGTTATGAAAGATCAGGTCAGACGGTGCTCAGCCTAGTCTCATAGGATCCCTTTGGCCCATACTGTCACCATTGTTTCTGTACATAATAGTCCTTTTGTTAGGTCCATACTAACAATACCTTCTTTGTCTGGGACTCCTTTATGCAGGGTCCAATTCCATTCAACAGTTCTTACTACCTCAGTCTGGCATCTTGGAGGATGATAAATGATGGTTTCTGCATTCGATTTTTTCCTTGTAGAGGCTTAACCGCTGGAGAGTCCCAGAAAACTTTTCATCGTAGTCTTTTAGTCACTTGAATATGGAACATTTCTGTTGGGTGGTCCTTTGGGAACGCCTCACAAGTGTTTACAAAGTCTTTTCACTTGATTTTCTTAGGGTTCTGTACGGGTCTAGGGCTTAGCATTCTTAAGCTGCCATTTCTGCTCTTTTGAGACCGTATAAGAGTGCCTTAGGCTCATCTCCGTCTGGTTATAAGTTATCAAATCTTTCTTTGCCTTTTTGAAAGTCTAAACTTTTGTTTTTATGGGCAAAACAAGGATTTGAGACCTGTTCTCAGTGATGAAAGCTGTCAGTATTCCTCCAAGTATATGTTGAGACACCCACTACAACTATCTGTTCTTGGGCATTCTGAAGAGGTGGCAGCGCCTATCAAGTAGAGGGAGTTGAGGAACAACAAATAACTCTTGAGCCTCTACCTGATGTCTTTCCTTATTCATTACCACTTCTCACTGGCTAGATCCAGCATCCTTTTAGGCTGACTTTGGTATCTGAGTTCTCCAAGCTATCATTCAGTTAAATGCTGTTTTCTTATTTTTACTCCTTCATACTTCTGCCTGTTGTACAGAAAGCTTTTGTGTAGGATGAAATAAGATGGGACGTACAACAAGGGCAAATCTTATCAGTAATTGTTTATCATCCATTCTCTTTCCCTTTCTTTTCTAACATACACACTTGAGTATTCTAATTCTGATCAGTGTTTATTCCCACTGAGGTAAATGAAAATCAGTAGGACTGTGTGAGTAGTAAGGAGTGCAGCACAAAAATGAGTTAAGGTGCTATAATCAAGCCCTGAATAATTATAGAAAGAGGCTAGAGACTGGCTATAAACATATCTCCTATGATTGACAGTGATTTTAGCCTCCTGGTATATGTAGCTGTAACGTTTGCTATATAAAATCTTATTTTGTAGACTGGAGAACATGAAGGATTCCTACAAATGCAATAATGGTACGTAATGTTCCCGTTCAAGGCATTATGTATGGCTACAATTCTGACAGGACTCTTTTGAGAGTTTACAGGCTCATACCTAATGTTCAAGGAAGAAGGCGCCAAGTCAGCTGTTTGTTTGCTTGTGGACTGCTGATTAAATATTTAATTTCCTGGAAGAGCAGTAGAGTGCAGTATTTAGATAATATCTAGAACTGAAAATCTTCTTGAAAATGTCCTGGAGTTGGAAACATCTGGTGTCTTTATAGATGGAAATGTGTTTTAAAGTTATTGCACTCCACTCATTCTCCCCCACCCCTTTAAAAAAAAATGTGCATACTTGATATTTTGCAGTGTCCTTAAGATATTCCCCTACTCTGAATCTGGATTCAGTGAATCATCCCAGAAAACTTTGATTTAAAACAAAAAATAATTACAATTTTATGTGTGGGATTTAGGGACAGTTAATACAAACACATCCATGAGAAGAGGATACTTAAGTTGTTTAGAACAGACATCACAATCACATACCAGTGCTCAAAGTAAACCAGTTACGGTTAGGATTATCAGTCCCTGCATTTTTCTTCACAGATAAACACATACAGCTTTCTAGTATACAAAAAATATTTGCAAATCCAAATTGGTAATTGTGGTACTGATTTTTTTTTTTTTTTAACTGTACACAAGAACACTGGTGGTAGTGCGAGAGCACACATGAAAAGTAGCTTGTTGAAAAGCAGCAAGAGCAGTGAGACCTTGAAGATTCTATAAGCCCCTATTGAAAATACATGGCTTACTTATTTATTCAGACAAACCTCTGATTAAGCTTCCACTACTCTTCCATACACTACTGTATGGAAACCACATATCATGCTTTTATGAACAGCATACGTGTTAGTTATGAAGTGGACTATCCTAGAAGACATTTTAAAAGACATTTTTGTTTATCTTCTCTCTATAGGGGACAAGTCATTAACATGAGGTACCTGGAATATTTTGAAAAAATACTTCATTTTATCAAAGACAGGATCCTTGTTTATCATGGGTAAATGGTTTATTTAATATTTTTTCCTTCCACCTTCAATATCAATTCAAAATTGTATTATATTCATAGACCATACAGAAAGTCTGGGGAAATATTTTCATAAAGTTCCAGTACATCCATAACTGTGTCCTCTTACCAATGGGAGAAGAAATGCCATATGAAAGAAAGCAAAGTAATCTTCTCTTTTACATATGAATGATAATAGTAATTCAAGTAATTAATTTTTAAGAGTACCTGTACCCATCCTTCTGGCCTATATCAGGCATAGGTGGATCTTAGCCCTGTCTTACAAGGGAGGGTGTTCAAAGTGGTCATGGAAAATGTTGTTGATCCATACTCCAGATTACGGGAATATGAAATAATTAATTTTTCTGAACAATATTGGTGATTGATGTGTGCAGCCTATAGCAGGGTGGGAGACGTGGGCATGGCTTTGTATGGATCATCTGTGGAGGGTAATATGTAGGAAATTGTTATCTTTGACAGGTATTATGAAGGCTGGGGATCAGAGTGTTTTCAGCCCTTATAAGTGAGTGTGATCTGTAATTTAAAAAGCCACCCTAAAGGCTTTTCTCTGGAATAGTGAAGTTTGGAGAAAGTTTGATGGGAGGTGATTAAGGACAAAAGGAAGATACTTAATATTGCTGTTGGACTATAGAGGATATTTTCTGACTTCCTCACAAGTGAATTACAACCTTCTAATGTCTCTAATTTTGTTGAAGAATTGCGACTTTTAGGTCTGTAATTGAGTGCCCAGGGAGGTTGAAGTGTTTTCCGACTGGTTTTTGGATGTTATAATTCTTGACGTCTGATTTGTGTCCATTTATTCTTTGGCTTAGAGACTGTCTGGTATGGCCAATGTACATGGCAGAGGGGCATTGCTGGCACATGATGGCATATATCACATTGGTAGATGAGCAGGTGAACGAGCCTCTGATACTGTGGCTGATGTGATTAGGTCCTATGATGGTGTCCCTTGAATAGATATGCGGACATATCTACATAGGAATGTAAGATGTTCACTGGTTAACCGGTTAGCATTAATCTTACCTGTTAACCACCTTAACTGTTAACCTCAGGCTGGCCTGCTGGTCAGCCCCAACAGCCCCACACCGGTTGGCCCAGCAGCCCCACATTGTCCAGAGTGGGCCCTGCTGCGCTGCCCGGCCAGCCCGCCAACCCCAGCTCCCCAACCCTGCCCCCCACCAGCCAGGTCGGCCCCAACAGATCAATCAGTTAACAGTTTAAACAATTAAAATATATTTAGTTTAAACGGTTAACTTTTTAAATGGTATTTACATCCCTAGTTCTTCTAGATCAAGTGGCAAAGCACGGTGTGGAAAGTTTGTGATATTGCCGCCGATGTTGTACATACCCTGTGTGCAAACAGTATATTTCAGTAGCTAGGGGGTGTTGATTTGCATCTTCCATAAACAGCAGATTTACTTTTGGAAAATTAAATTATTCTCCTATTTAGGAATAGATAAACTTCTGTGCTTTATTAAAACGTATTGCTCAGAGTGGTCCTGCATGCTCTTGTTTACTGGGCGCTAGGGGAATACAATTTATACTCCCATATGATGTCTGAGAGCAGAAAGCTTTTTTTGCAAAGCCTAGCTATTGTTTCCTGACCCTGACCATGACTCCCGTCCCCTCCCCCCAAGTCTAAGGCATTTGGGCTGCAATATTAGAAATAGTTTCGACATGTCCACTGGGCTCTGGGGCTTGACCATGCTCTTTTTCTTTGTGCCAGATTCTCCCATCAGCAGCACAGACAGAGCAGTGGATTTAGCATTCCCACTTCACCCATTGCAATCTGAGATTTAAATGCTGATTTTGGTGGGTGGGGGGCAGCAGGGAGTTAACTCTTGCAACCCAGTGTCTCCCACAGTTCTGGACGTCTGGGCTGCTCTTCTCACCTTTCACCTCACAAAGACAGATCAGTGATTTTGGTGCCATGCAGTCTGGCCACTCCCCCTGTGTTCCAGCTTGCTGCCAGATTCTCTGCCTCTGCAGACAGAGAGTAGCAGTTTCTTTTGCTCCTGCCCTAACTCCTTCTATTTTAACTTTTCTGCTCAGTTTTTTGGGCAGTGTTGAGCAGTGTTTCCTCCTTTGCATTCCTCCTCCTCCTCCTGGGTTGGTTATCCCTTGGGAGGTTTAACCCTCCCTGAGCCTCTGTTGCAGCATCTCCCTGCTGGCTCCTCTTCCCCTTGCAGGCATGGCAGAGCAGCCAAGAAAGCACTGGGTCAAATCCAAGTGATGCTCTATTTGTGAAGTATCCTTCCCTGGCTTGGCAGACAGTAAGGAGTGCCCAACCTCCGTCCGTAATCTGTTAGGTCCCAGTGCTGCAAGTTGGATAGGCAGTTGGGATCCCTTGCCCATCAGGGCAGCCACAGCTCCTGTGGGGCAAAATGAACTGGGACCAGTCCTATTCAACATATTCATAAATGATCTGGAAAAAGGGCTAAATAGAGAGGTGGCAAAGTTTGCAGACAATACAAAATTACTCAAGATAGTTAACTCTTCACAGTCAGCTTTGGATTTACAGAGGGATCTCACAAAATTGGATGACTGGGCAACAAAGTGGCAGATGAAATTCGATGTTGATATAAGGAAAGTAATGCACATTGGAAAACATAATCCCAACTATAGATACAAAATGATGGTTTCTAAATTAGCTGCTACCACTCAAGAAAGAGAACTTGGAATCACTGTGGATAATTCTCTTAAAAACATCTGCTCAATGTGCAGCAGCAGTTGAAAAAGCTAACAGTGTTAGGAACCATTAGGAAAGGGCTAGATAATAAGATAGAAAATATCATAATGCCTCTATATAAATCCATGGTACACTCACATCTTGAATACTATGTGCAGTTCTGGTCACCCCATGTCAACAAGTATGTATTAGAATTGGAAAAGGTACAGAGAAGGGAAACAAAAATTATTAGGGGAATGGAACAGTTTTCATATGAGGAGAGATTAGTAAGACTGGGACTTTTCAGCTTGGAAAAGAGATAACTAGGTGGATATGATCGAGACCTACAAAATCATGACAAGTGTGGAGAAAGTATGTAAGGAAGTGTTATTTACTCCTTATACCACAAGAACTAGGGGTCACCAAATGAAATGAACAGTCAGCAGGTTTAAAACAAAAGGAAGTATTTTTTCACACAACGCACAGTCAATCTGTGAAACTCATTGCCAGGGGATGTTGTGAAGGCCAAAACTATAACAGGGTTCAAAAAAGAACTAGATAAATTCATAGCCAAGATGGTTAGGGATGGAACGCCATACTCTGAGTGTCCCTAGCCTCTGTTTGCCAGAAGCTGGGAGTGGATGACAGGGAATGGATCACTCGATGATTGCCTGTTCTGTTCATTCACTCTGAAGCATCTGGCATTGGCCACCGTCACAAGACAGGATATTGGGCTAAGATGGACCATTGGTCTGACCCAGTATGGCTGTTCTTATGTTCTTAAGCCTTCATACTAAAGGTATGGGACCATTGCCCAGAAGACATGAAAGATCAGGTATGGGTTCTGACAGATGTTCAACTCCTTACAGTGATGATCAGCCCACAACATCCAGAAAGACCTACCCATCTGCCTTCCAGATCCTTTAGTCCTTGTAGCAGGCACAAGCCTGGAGACCCAAACAGTCCATGGCCTCTGGAGTGAGGAGGAAAAGGCTGATAGTATAAACCATATTTATGAGGGGACTGGGAGCTTTTTTACTTTACAAGTTAATTAGATCAGGGAGTTTCAGGGATCAGACCAAAATTCCCTCTGTTGAATACTTGATCAATGAAGATGGTCCAATTCACTGTGTCTCAAGAACTGAACAGGATTCAAGGGTCCTCATGGAGGTATTGCCAAAGAAGTATCCGCTGGTGTTTTGCCTGACAAAGAATATAGCATTGTTTCTGACTTCATCCCAAGAGTGAGACCTGGACTTTCTTTAGGATGTTTCTTTGCACTGCCTCTCCCATTATGTCTGAAGATGAGGAAGCACTGGAGCTCAGGATCTCCACAACAGGCTAAAACCAAAAAGGGAACACCAAGCAAGGGGAGGTTGTAGGGATGACCAATCTTACCAATGCTAAAGAAGCCCAAATATAGGAACAGTGCTCCAGATCCTAATCTCTTTCCACAAACTCTAGCTTCCCTTCTGAAGAAGGGGAATTCTTGGCTTTGGATAATAGACAGGAGTCAAAGGTGCAGGAGAGAGGTTCTATTTGTCCCCTAGATGTGTGTGAAGCAGTGAAGATAGCTTACCAAATCATGAGCTGGATTCTCCGTCACTTGAAATTTTTAAATCAAAATTGGATGATTTTGTAATGTATGCTCCATCTTCATCCAAATTATTGGTTTTCCTATAGGAATCACTGGGTGAAACTTGATGGCTTGTGTGATGCAGGAGATCAGACTAGATGACCATAATGCTCCCTTCTGGCCTTAAAATATATGAAACCATAGAGAGGAAGGGGGTGACTACCATTGAGATCTAGCCAGAGAGAGGATGAGTAGACTAAAGCCAAGGACATGTATCTCCAATCCCAAATTCAGATAGAATTTGCTATCCTCCTTGATTCATCTTTTGAAGAGATCTATAGGAAGAAGTAAGAACGCCCAACAAATGGAAGAGACTTAGTTGGCAGGTCCTGAAATTCTACAATCCTATAACTAAAGGATTCTCTGTTCACAATCCACAGGATTGGAGCAGTGGCATCTTGGAAAAACACAACATAAAATACGAAGATGTCATTCCCAAAGATCTTATAGAAAGGGGAGTCAAGGCTTTCAGAGTATTATACTTGTGGGAGAAGAGACCTCAATGGTGATACAAAATTATATTAATAAGTATTATAACTTATTTTAAAAGCCATTAAAAGCTTGTTTGCACGTTTTCTGAATATTGATATAGCTACAAGAATGTTAGAGCCAGGATGCTTGGAAATAAAACAATTCACATTTGGCTAATTATATTACAAAATGTTAAAA